CTGACTGACTGACTGACTGACTAACTGACTAACTGACTTACTGACTAACTGATGACTGACTGACTGACTGACTGACTGATACTATTGGTTGGCTGATAGCTTCAAGTGTATTTGCATTAATTAAGTCCAATACATACCAGATTCATAACAAGGCCTGTTAGGCTCCAGTTTTCATTTGAATTAAGTTGCTGATTTGCTAGCACTGATAGATCAACAAGACCTCTTGGATTGACATCAAATTCTTTTGACAGCTTTCCAATGTCACTAAGAAAATAATGAAGTGTAAAACACCATGCCATGTCAGAGTAATCCTAGAAGTAGTTCATAAATACAGTACCTAAACTAAAATATAAATAAATTACTACTGACATCGTGTTTTTACATGCACCGTACATACCTTATAATTCCAACTCCTGTCTTTAATATTTTGTCATTTTCCAAAAGCAACTTCAAAGCACTTGGAAAACCTACCATAATAGATTTGAATGATTATCAATCAGTAGTTGAAACAAAGTTTTCTGTTTTTTGAAAACAGATTCAATTTCAAAATTACTTTGAATAGGAAGCTCTCACAAGCGGCTTATACAGACAGGGGATGCCACACCTCTCTGCTCAACAGATGGTTAGTATTAGGTGAGGAACTAAGGGTGGTCACTGCCAGGAATTGTTTTACATCCTCAATGGTTCTTTTAGGTTCCTCTGATATTGGTTAGCAATGATGAAGTGTGGAGAGATGGGACTCATCCGAGCCACCTTAGAACCTAACCATTGTAGATGTAATTACAAAGGCAGCACTTTCTCCTCAGTTATTTAAAACCCTGAGTGTTGGTGCAGCCGGGACTCAAACCGCAACCTCCCCCACAACAAACCGATACTCTTACCAACTGAGCTAGCCGGGTAGTGTTTACACCTAATATCATTTGACCCTTGCACTTTAATACAAAGACATATAACAAATAAGTTAGAACCTACCAGACATTCTTGATAGATGAAACAAATAACAAGTATCTTCTGATGCACATAACTGAATGAGGGCAGTCTTCCTGGAACCACCACACTTTATGAATGAAACTCTCCATTCCATATCGAAACCCATCACTGTCTCTTCTTGAGCACTACATTATAAAATACACCAACATAATTATATTTTATATTATTTTATAACTATTAATCACTAGGGTGATTAGTGTTCTTACAACAGATTTACTCTACGCACCCATACTGGTCCAAATATATTCAATATTGCTTGATACAATGCTGAGCAGATCAGCCCAATTAGATATATATTCAATATTCTATACAGAGGGAGGCACACACTGTTACCCATGGGTATAAAGCAGTCAATGAATATTTACTTTATGTATCTCTCATAATTGTTGGGCTGTGGGTAGGCACTGGTATTTTGACATAATCTACATGTAAGCCCAAGGGTAAAAAAATCTGGGAACCTTCTCAGTGCTCAATTAGTTATACAAACCTTGTAATAAGGCTGTCACAAATGAAATTGCATTCATCTTTATGCAAGCAATAGATTATTCTGCCATTGTATTTAAGCAGTGGTAATTTGGCATCATTGAATCCTTCATAAAAACTAGAAGGTAATGTTCTGCCCGGTTTGTCCTATAACCAAAAAGATCACAATTTAAGGCTAAAAAGATCACAATTCAAGGCTAAAAATAAGGAATGCCTCTTAGGCTGGACCTCTTGCCTGGTCACATGTCAATCAGTCTGATGTAGCTGGTCATCATGCCTGGCCATTGAGTAAGCCATATTATTTTAGTCCTGTAATTATTTTTATGGGTCCCTTGCGTAGATATTAAGAGCTCTAACTGGATAATCTGTTCGCATTACTGCTCTTTCATAAACATGCAAACTCACAAGCTGTGAGCGGCAAGCTGAAATTTGGTTTTTCGCTGCTGTCAATCAAAACTACTAGAAGTCGGTACATGTACATTTCATATTTTTGCATGTTTATCCAACCAAACATATCACAACATTATTTGCATACCATTGAAAGACTAGCATAATCAACACTAAGGGTTTGAACTATATCTACAAGAGAACAGAATAAGCTTATTAGTTATTCTCGGGGGAAACAAAAGAAGAAAGGAAATGTTGCAAGCGCATTTTGAAATTGTTTTACCGGACTGACTGGAACGCTTCAACCATTCTGGAAGCTTGCGTTTCTTGGCCTCAACATCTGACATTTTAATGTCCTGTGATTTTTTGGTCTTTAACGAATCATTTCGCAACAGAACGGCACAGAAAACATTCATAAATTCATTGAAATAATGCCTTAAAAGAGAACTAACATGTCGGAATTTCGCCAAATGTCATTCTCAAGCAGGCGTTACAAGCGTTTTGGCGGGAAAACTTTAGGCCGAGTAGGATTGGGTCTAGTCTCTGTCCAGACTCTCTCGGATATTCCAAATCAAGATGGAGGACGAAGAGAGTGATGAGAAAGACAAGGTGACTTTTACTGTGTGTGCTGTTCTTCCAGCAGCAGGTAGCGGCACGAGAATGCGTATGGAGACTCCTAAACAGGTAAATAAAGAAACAGTTTATCTCGTTTTTTTTTATCTCTCATTTTTATCTCGACAAGTGGAATTTTTAATTTCTACTCACCTCTGTTTGTAAACTCGTCTGGAATATTTTGACAAGAATGCGAGACTGTCAGTCATTATTTTATCTTTCTCTGAGAATCAAAAGTCAAATTTTTATTATCCACAACACTAGGTTGTTGTCTAGTGATTCCATGTTGCAATCATCTAGTGACCATAGGAGATATAATCTTTTGACAAAGATAAGTTTATATATGTATACTGTAATGCGATAATAATATTCATCATATTTCAACCTATATGGTTTTCATTCAGTACACTTACTTGCAATTTAATTTAATTTATTGTTTTTCTAGTTTTGTGAGATCCTAGATCGGCCATTGATAAGTTACACTATTGAGGCATTTGAAAGGTAAATTATATTTCATCTTTATGATAAACTCTAACATGGTTACTTACAGTAAATGGTACATACATAAGATAAAACTAACAAAGCATCCAGGATCAATGATCAGCATATCATAGCCATTTTATGTCAGTTTACCTTTAATTGTTCTCATTTGTTATTTACACAGTCTGAAAGAAATAATAAAGATTTAATGTTCTGGTCTTAGTGATCCAGACTCTGGGTCAAATAATAGGTGTGGATCCATTGATCACGACCCTAGTCTTTACAGTGTTTGGCCAAAGAATGGATGAAATTTGTACCTTGTAGGCCAAATTGAATGCATGCTGTTTCATCCAGTCAATTGATATAAAGAATTTGAATGTAAATTTAAATTAATTTATGGTTATAAATGCTATTGAAATGGGAGTTCATTCTACCCAAGGTTAATTAATATTATAATGTTTACAATAATTTACACTGTATTTAGAGTTAGATGGATGAAAGAAATAGTGGTACCCGTGGCAGAAGATACCTTGGAACATATGCAACAAGTAAGAGGTTTTATTACTCCTACTAGCTATGTATGATCTTATTTAGCAATAACAGTCTATGAACTACTGTAGATCTCTCACTTGATAATATAAAGATCTATCTTTAAATATAATTTATCAATAATTATTGATTATGTACAGATTTTAAAGAATTTCAATCATACCAAAGTAAGACTGACTCTTGGAGGAAACACTAGGTATGAGCTTTGATAATTTCATAAAAGGAATGTATTTATGTTAAATTAATATTAAGTTTAATAGCTGACTTATATACTGTACGTAGTGCCTATATTTCCAACTAGTTGTCTGATACATAAGTTTCTACAAATGGTGAAACAAAATATGCACAAAATTATTGCCATGAAGAATATTGTATCGAATTTTTTTAGTTTTTAATGCAATTTACTACTTTCTTTATTAGACATAAATCAATTTTCAGTGGAGTTAAAGAATTAGCAAACCACAAGAAGCCACCAGATATTGTAAGATGTGATTAAAGTTCAAAATACTGATTGAATCTTGAAGTTTATAAACTATTTAAAACATTTGTATGAGCAATGCTTATTTTCTTTTTAACTGTACCAAAATGCTTTTAAAAAAGTGAACAATAATAGTGATGTATTTTCAGCCAGTATGAGAATTGTTTACAATGTCATATATACAGTAGAACTTTGCTGTGTCCTCAATTTCTGGGCATCATTGTTTTGGCCATCAGGTCACTGTGATCTGCATGATTTTGGAATGCAGTCAAAACATCTTTACTGGGTACCCTCTTGATTTTTGTAGAACATCCATCTAATTTGCAATCCTACCACTAGTGAATGATGGTATAGTACAAGTATACAGTATGATATATTTCTCAATATCTTTGGATTTTTTTTGTATTAGGTCATCATTCATGATGCTGTTAGGCCATTTGTTAGTGAAGACATCTTGAGAAAAGTAGCTTTGGCAGCCAATAATCATGGGGTAAGGCTCAAGTGTGTAAAGCAGAATAAAGATAATACTTTGACTGTTCTTCAGCTTTACATCACTGCTTTCTCCTTTACATCACTCTAACATCACCTCTTTGACAATCTCATATAAGAAACTCCTGCAATCATTAGAGACCATAAACTTTGACAGCAAATGTTTTTCTTTACAGGTGCACTTCAATTCATCTTGCTGTGATTGACAAGTGTCACTCTCTCTAAACAAAGTTTTCAATCTCAAACTAAGGGCAATTCATGAATGGTTTGTGTTTGTAGGCTGCTGGTGTCACCCGTCCACTAGTTTCGACAGTCATTGCCTGTAATGAGGAAGGCTTTCTTGATCACTCACTTGAAAGGTTAGAAACAAGTTACATGTACAGTACACTGTAATATTCAATAAACTCCAATAGTTATAGTAAATAGTGTCCTGACTTGTGTCAAGCCAGCTTTCTCTTGTAGCCTACCAGGAACATTTGATTGGATTAATTTGTCACAAATACAAATTCATACTCACCTGTCTTTCTGTCTGAGTGTCTGTCTGTCCTCACTGTCTGTTTTTTTATTTAGCAGAATTTAGAATTTAAAAATCCATTTTCATAAGTACGACACTTTGTATTTTTAAATAGATCCACGTATCGCAACAGTGAAATGCCCCAAGCATTTAAGTTTGATGTCATTTTTGGTGCATATCAAAAGGTATGTATGAGTCAATGTAATATGTTGATTTGAACTATAGGGCATGCCTTTTCTCATTTGAGTCTAGCTTGGGTACAATCAGCACAATATAAGACAAGCAAAACACAAGGTGTACCATTGCAGAGAAGAGGCATACATTCACTAAGTCAGAAATATTCTCTAAAAACTTGTGAATGTACAGTTAATTACCAGTTGGTTAGTCAATGTGAGGGTGCATTGTGCACAGTATATTTTCATGTTGAACATTCTCAAGGGACCTCCTGCGTCATACAAATGTCTGAAGAGACCGTTTTCCCCCTAGTGTACAGAGTATGACTTTGAGCATGGTACAGAGTGCCTACATCTTGCACTAACATATTCTAATACAAGAGCAAAGCTGGTAGAGGGAACAGACTCACTGTGGAAGGTAATTGATACATATTTGTACATTATACGTTTTTAAGTTTAATTGATACATATTTGTACATTATACGTTTTTCTCTGTTATGGTAGCAAACTGACACAACTGAAACTCTAAGAATGAGATTGATGAATTTGCCTTAGTATTATTACAGTTTTGTTCACAGGGAATATTTTATACTGTTTTGTATAACACCTTTCTTATAGAGTATGTACTGTAGTAATCAAAGGTGCTTTGAAAATTAGTCATGCATTTCCGATTGCTTTATGCTACACACAGTAATTACAGATGGTATGAGGTCAGGGTGGCACAGGGGTGGGAGTTGGCATCTTCAAGAGAAAATTCATAAATCATATTAAAACTGGAATTTATGTTTCATGCTTCTAACCCTAAGTCTATGTGCTACCCTGTAAAAACCATCAGCCAGTGGCTAACAAACCTGTAGCCCACGTTTCATGATCGAATTGAAATTTAGGAGTTGATTTTTGTGGAGGGAGGAAAAACCAGAGAACCTGAAGAACAACCCTTGAAGCACACAGGAGAGAACCAACAAACAACATTACTCACATACAACATCGAGCACAGTGGGGCTCCAACCTGGGTTGCTTTCATGACAGGGTGAGCTTTCTCACCTCTACGACACCCATGCTTCCCAAGCACGTTAGGTGTATAACATATGAGAGACACACTGAGAGTGGTCACTTGCTCTTCCCACCAGGTTACTCACAAAAGAGATTTGTTTGCTGCAGAAGCTACTTTAAAAGGTACATGTACTATGTTATATTAATGTTTTTTTTAAGTCCACAAAATATTCTGCCTCCAATATGAATGAGAATTTCAGAAATATAAAGAGATAGTTAGGAAATGTCCATTAGCTTATCATTGGTTGGTAGTATTGGAAGTAGGTCTAATTTCCTATCATATTTCAAATGTTATTTTTCTTTTTATCAATCAATTTCAGAATTAAGAAGATTAAAAGCATTAGTAATCAGTGACCAGCAAGGTCCAGTTGAAGAACAGCTTATATCAAAACTTCGAAAACAAAATGTTGATGTAAGTTTATAAAAAATTAAATTTTTTCATAACAAAACATTAAAACACTTTATCATATAATTATCCATAAAATACCTATATTAAATTTTATCCTTTTCGTAAAACTGACATTTTCACATGTGAAAATAACATGTTATTTTCACATGTGAAAATATCGTTTTTATGTGTATTTAAGCTATTAGCTTATAAATAAAAACTTTTTATAATAATAAAAAGCTTGTTAAGTTGATTTTATGGATAATATTATATAATAAACTGAATATTACATGGGCGCTTGGAGATACAAAATTTTTCTTCTCGTGTTGAAAATCTTTGAGATCTTTTCAACACTCGAAGATAAATTTGGTATCTCAGTGCGCCCATGTTATATCCTCCATGTATCCCATTCTGCACAATGACATACCTAATGACCTACTGTATTCTGATGTTTTGATTGACTCAAGTTGTTTTTTTCTCCAATATTATTAAAGGTACAGTTTTCTTCATCAAGTGACTTATCAAATATACCCAAGGCAGCATTATGTTCAGTAGATGTGGTGTGTAAAATCATAAGGCACACATGCCTCTCCAGAGTTAGTGGAACAGTAAGTCTTACAAGCAAGGCAGGGATTTTATTTAATATAATATTTTATCAGATTAGAAAGAGTGTTATTCTTTTGGGGGTGTCATACTATATAATGTTTCCCAGTTTTAGCTCAGTTGGCAAGAGTGTCAGTCTGTTGTACTGGAAGTGCTGGTTCAAGCCTCGGCCGGACCATCACTCAGGGTCTTAAAATAACTGAGGAGACCTTCATGTGGCTCTGATGACAACATTAATTAACTAGAGGCGTTAAAAGAGGACCACAAATTTATCAGTTGTCAAGTACTGTCAAGCGTTACCCTATAAATAAAGTTAATTTATTTTTAAATGTACATTCATTCTGCTCTTCTTTTATAAGGCAGAAGAGGAAAGACCAAGTCTTATTTTGGATCTGTCACCTTCCATAGAAGCACTGGAAGTATTTGACAACTCTGCACACCAGAGAAAATCAATTTTAACTTTAGTAATTTCCCATGAACAGAATGGATTGGATGATTTAAAGGTATTATTCCTTACCATTCATTACCATGTTTATGGTTATCTTATTCATACATAATTTATTATTTATTTTTTCTGTGCTAAATTCATTGAGTAATTAATTTATTTCTTAAATTCATGATTATTAGAAACATATGGTTGAATTGAACTCAAGAGCAAGGTCAAAAGGAATAACCTGTTTTGGTATTTATGTAGATACTGCAAAGTGTAATAAAGAGGTAAGAAGATTTTTCAAAATAAATTCAAAGTTCAAAGCTAATATAATTTAATTTTCATTAAAAACATTTGTGCAGTGAAATGTGTGTTTCCAGAAAGTAGTATTCATGTTATAATAATTATAAGGTAAATAGTGTGGTTCTTGCAAACACCCTTACTGACACCAATGTTGGGATCACATTCTTTACTATTACCATACCAATACCTGTCAGTTCCCTTTTCCACCTCTCCAAACCCATAAAAGAGGTTGATATTGATTCCCCCACCATCCCTAGCTTTTATATACACCATAAAGAAAATATTAAAATTTCTAAACACTCATTGAGAGTTGAACTTTTGTGGGAGTCATGGTTCAAGTTTGGGCTGTACCAACACTTTGGGTCTTAAAATAACTGAGTAGAAAGTTCTCCCTTTGTAATTATATCTTCAAATGGTGAGACTTACAATAGGATCAAATGACCTCTTTAAAGAATCCTACTAAAACACTACGCACTGCTTGCCTATGTTATTTGTTTACATTGTTCTCAAAGGTTTTCCAAGCTCTAGGAGCAAAATTTCTACAGATTTTCTATGCGAAAGACCTCAATCACAAAGTTTTCTTCCTTTTATTCCACAGCAAGTAGATTTTTTTTGTGACTTTTTGGTCATCCAACTCTTAGCCACTTTCAAAATCTACCTTTAGATTCATAGCCAGTATAAAATGGCTTTGTATCATAAAATCATAATGGTGCTTAAACACCTAGCAGAAATGACAGATGGAAATGGATTTCCAATTAAACTTCACCTACAGAACTGCCATTTTTCAAGGCAGAAAAGATGGCGCATTGTATAGTATTTTATTGTTTCCTGCATGCAGTACATTGTGGTTGACTAGGATTCTTTAAATGGTACACACTTTTTATCATTACTAACCATATAATGGAGGAACATAAAAAGACCACAGAGGACGTAAAGAAACCAAGGCAGTGACAACCCTCAGGGCCTACACCTCATACTTTAGTAATCATCTAGCACTTATGTTTGTAAATAATTGCATAATAAAGCAATCTGGAATTCACGAAACTCAAATGTATATATCACCTCTGATTATATCCTATCCATATGGAAAGGTCACATATAATTTATCATAAATCATTATCATTATTACCAGTAAACACGCTGATGTCCCTGAATTGGTCAGTGGGTTGTACCCTTAGCAATTTTAACATTATTTAAGGTAGACTTATTGCCTAACAGCTGACATTATTAACTTCTGCATCTGATTTAGTAATAAATGACTTCTGTTTTCCATTTTTCTAAACGTTCTCTAGGACCATTGGCCAATTGAAGATTGTAAAAATCTGGCAGAGATGACATCTGAAATTGCTTTAAATACAAGTTCTTTGTTGAGTGGACAGGTCTTTGAATACCTTTATAATTGAAAATACTATGTTAACTGGTTTTTGGCAATCAACTATTCCAAATACAGTATACAGTGTAAATAATAGCAGCTAATAGAAAAATTATGAAAAAATAAATTTTTTTAAACTTTTTCTTCTTTTTTTTTTAATCATTTTACAGTTTAATTTTTTATACTACAGATCCAACACGCAATTATTTTAAAACTAATAAAAGAGCACATCTAATTGAAATGTATACACTTATATATATATAATTATATACATGTAAGTATGTGTGGTCTTCATGTTTTTATTATGCTTTATAATTTGTGATTAATGTTGTATATGTTAACTCCTTTGTGGTATTTATAATTTTTGCAAAAATTTTAAAGAGGCAATAACTACTTTAAAATATTTGTAAACATTTAATATTTGAAGAATGCTGTATTGCTCGGCGAGACAGAAAAGCTTTCTAGTCCTACATGTCAATGAAGAGAGCTATAGTTTATGAGGTTAAATTTACAGGGAATTTTATTTTCCCAATAAGCATACATTTGTAGTTATAAAAGTAGTTGTCAGTATATTGCAGAGCAATATTTAGTTATTTCATAAACATCTCATGTATCACTTGCCATGAGATAGAGGATCATAAAGCAGTCGGAATGAGTAAGAACAAGTTAGGTAATGTTTTGTTAAGTTTTACAAAAATAATTGGTTAGCTGTCTTCATGTCATGTAAGGACTGAGCGTAAGTCATCTACCAAATTGTATAACCACCATCTGAACCACCACTTATCCAGCTATCAGGATTTTGTGTCATAACGACAGGCCTTCCTTGAGCTGCAGCCATTTGTGCATGGTTTGGTGGGTGGCCAGGTGGGGGAGGCTATTAAATATAAGAAGAAGAAAAAACATGATTAAGTTTTCAGTAGTATAGTTTTATAGCTGTTTGGAGTACCACAGGTGTGGTGGCCATCTTGAATTATGGGATACGAGGGGTAAACACAGAGAATTTATAAAGCATAGAGTGGTAGTCTTGGTGTTTCACATATTGTTCCAACTACACCAGCAAAATTAATTGCTTTTAAATGTAATTCACATTGAAAAGCACAAACTTTTAAGGCACCCTGACAGCTGTACAGTCTATACATTTTCCCATATAGTAACCCCCTTAGCATCCCATAAAGTCTCTAATTCAAAACAGCTGCCCCATCGGTAAAAAGGTCTATACTCACTGGAATATTAGGGGCTGCTCCAACACCAAATCTTGCTCCAGCATCAAAAGAGCCTTGTGCAACTGGCATCATCCCCCCAGGGTAAGATTGCATTGGCATGTGGGAGCGCTAAAACAAACAGTAAAGCACTTAATTACACTATTTATGATTTGATATACTTGGTTTTTCACTTGATTCAGTTGCTGTCATGTTAATGTTTCAATTTATTGTTGAGTGTTTTTGATATGCATAGGAAACATACAGTACTGTTCTACAGCGCATACATGGTATGACATGTTATAACATTGAAATGGCTTCCCATTGTCTTTCAGTAATTCAACCAATCACAAAGCATGGTTATGGTAAGATTGATATGGTACAGCTATTGTACAATACAGCTATGGATTTCCCTACGAAAATCACTCTAAGCTTCTTGCATTCAGGATTTTAGTAGACAAACCTGTTGTACTGGATAAGATGGAGGACCACCAGCCTGTGGGTACATCTGCTGTGGAGTAGAGGTGTATGGAGGTGGTGGTACCCCATATGGTGACGATGTTGGCTGCATTGGTTGGTTCATTTGGGGATAAGTCTGTTGTTGAGGGTATGGACCAGTGGGGTACATTGGGGGTACCATACCTGGGTAACCTGCCTGACATTGCTGGGGGTAACCTGAAGGTGCATACTTTGGGTAACCTGTAAAATTAACAAAGAAATAATGAAAAAAAATGTTTTCAAAAGTTTTATCTAGAGACTACTCAAAGGGTGGACTCATGGAGGTTGTGGTGTGAAGCAGATGAAAAGAAGTCCTTGGTTTCAACAGAAAATTATAAAAAGTGGGGCAGGCAACAAGATAAAAAGTGTAGGTAGCAAGCTGCAAACCAAAAATACCAATGAAATCACCACCACTGCTGCTAGTTAGTTAAATATTGTATACATAGTACATGAGGACTATAGTGACTGTACTGGGTGAATATTATTCTTTGCAGGTTGTCATATGGACTGGCAGGTTTTCCGTGTTTGATACTCTGATCAAAACACACGGGATGTTGAAAGAATACAAGAGGAGCGTCTAGGAAACCATGACACGTAGCAGAGTGTTTTCCAGTTTCTCCAGTGTTCTCCCAACATCCCAAATGTTTTGATCAGAGTATGAAACACAGAAAACTGTTTTTGATTTGTTTTATAAAATACCAAATGTGTGAAAAGATTGAAGAAACCCAAAGTCTAAGTAAATTCCCCCTACGTGCCGTCTTTTTCAAACTGACCAATGAGCGCACGCGATAGATTAAAATCTTACAGTTGCAATACTCGCGCAAGCTAAAATGACAATAACATGTTTCGATACTCTCATCAAACATGTTTTTCGACCAATCATAGCGCGCATAGTACCCCAATTATTTCATAAATAGAGTTCTGCACTGTTGATAAGTGGTAGTAGTTCCCTTATTATATTCGTTTAATAGGAAACCTTTATAAAATAATAACAATGAGATCGCAAAGCATAACACTTCTAACTACGTTTTTACTGAGGTTCATAAAAAAATGAGTAGATAGAAGTGAGACTTTTCAATGGAGCTACCTATGTAGTCCTTTGTTCCTATAGCTACAGGTGCAACTGCCAGTTTCGCTTTTGTTTCTTTTTAAATTTCTTTTGGTGGAAACAACAAAACAAAGTCAGTCTTCCAATCGAGATTTTACTAGCGTAAAAAGCCTTCAAGTGACGATTAAAGCTACAAACTTCAAGATTTTCAATGCCCTATTTGATACTTTACGTCGATCGTTGTTGATGCGTCATATATGTCGTCGTGCTGCATGTAGAGAGTGTTTGTATTATAGAGCCTATTTAGCTTGGAATCTATAGGAAAGCATAGCAATAGCAAGCTGCTATTCAATAATTTTGAACCTGTTTGGCGTATGTATTCCCTTGTCTATACTAGTATGCCATGTAAACAATATCATAGTTTATATTTCTAGCGTCTAAGAGTTATATAATGATTTCAGTCGATTTCATTTTAAAACTATCCATTTCAAACAGCTTCTTCGTTAACCACGACGAAACCTTGAATCATATAGTTTTATTACGGATTAAATTGATAGAGAAAGATAAGTCGAGAATCAAACTTTATAAGCTCTAATGAATAGCAATGAGTTCGATTTGCCGATTATGACAAAGCGACGAACGCAAGGATGTTCGTTTGTGTGGTAGTTTGTATACTCAAGTCGACAATGCAGGATAAACACCCAATGTTTCTTCGTAAAACTGACAACGTTGGGTAAACTCAAACTTTGGCCTAAAGTATAGCATAGCGTTGCGTGTAAGATTGGACTAAAGCCTCGAAAAGTGCCGCCTTAGCATACTTTTGCTTAGCAGCTGTACTGAAGACTACGAAGTCTCGACCGGTAATGTACACGAAGGCTTTTATTTCCTTTAAATATTAACTCTTAGATTCCTTACGATTCTTACCTGGAGGCTGCTTCGACATGACTGGAAAAACAATAAAAACTTTCTGCTCAAACTTCTGGTTCTTTGCAAATATTCAGTTCTTCTCCTTCCTCGTTTGCGAGCAAAGGGGCAATTACAAATTCTCCAAACAAAGCATATGACGTCATAGACAGTAGCTTCCGGTTTAGTGTCTTGATATTCAAATCTTTTCTTTTATTTGAGGAAATATTATGCAAATTTAAAAATAGGATTTTCTAAAAATTCTAGTTTATTGAATTTCGAAGGAAAAACTTCATTAACCATGCAAGTAAATATTACCATGTAAGTTATGTAAGCTGTAAGTTATGGACCGAGTTTTCCCTACTGCCTTATGGTTTATGCCCAAGCTCGTAGCGCGCGGGTCATGAAAAAGTGGGGGAAACGAGGTTCCGTAACTTAATTACGGACAGAGCAAGCGAGGTTAATAAGAATGGTTATTATATGGCAAGGCGAACACAAAAATTAGCTCTGTGGTCCGTACCATAATTTATGGATAATAATTTTTAAATTAAAAATAAAATAATACTTACATTGCGCGTATTACATAGGGAGATGCTCACACGCGCATTACAAAACGGACTAAAGTAAGTAATCTCCTAGAAATATAAATTATGATCAAAACATACCCGTTGCATCTACCCCAAAGCAGCTAAACCAGGAGGGCAAGCAACGAACTGGCCATAAGGTAGTGTGTATTGCTCTGTCCACCGAATCACGGCCGCCAGGAATTGTTGTAAGGGGTCAATGGACAATAATGATCACATATTGATGGGTTGCAAGCATTCCCAAGAGAGGCAAATGACAAAAACATGGCGGCCATTGTGGTGCCGTTAACAATGGATGCTAATAAGAAATCTTTTGTTAAATGGCACCAACATGGCCGCGATGACGTAACGTGCAATCGAAGAATATATATTTATACATTTAATCTAATTATAAAACTTATCAGCAAATTGCTTCTTGAATGATTGCGTGCTACTGGCATATTGCGTATTTTTGCTGGGAGGGCGTTCCACAGCCTATTAGGCGCAGCAATTTCAAATGCGCGGTCGCCCAGAGTGGTTAAAGATCTTATTCTTGGCCTCTCGAGGAACAGTTCTTTGGATGGTCTTAAATTGTATCGTGATTCTGCCTTATATAGACTTAATGAGTTCAGTGATATATTCAGGTGATAGTCTATGGATAGCCTTATAGGTAATAAGTAATATTTTAAAGTCTATTCTGTATCTAACGGGTAGCCAATAAAGTTATTATTAGTTACTTTATTATTGTAATTATACAGCTTCTCATTAATCCCATACAACTTATTACTCATCCCATATTACTTATTTTCTTAATTGGACAGGTCTTGTTGATATGGGATTAATTAGGCAGCTATATAATTAATAGCCAATGGGGTTTCATGCTCCCCAATCAAGAAATAATTAGACTCGAAAAATTCCTCTGACTGCCAAATTGGACTCGGCCTACGGCCTTATCCAATTTTGGAAGTCCTCGGAATTTTCCTCGTCCAATTATTTCTTAATTGGACAGCATGGAGTCCTATTACATATACTAATACTTATATGCATATATTATTATTAGAGTCAGGTGTTTTTAGCGTTGTGGGGATCACTAGTTTATCAGTAACGTTAGTTTCTGTCATGTGTCACCCTCATGAAATAAACTCACTATTCGGCATACAAGATATTTTTTGATAATATTTACGGTTATAAAATATTCAACTTTTTTTTAAATTTTGCTTTGTTCCAAAAGGATGTAATTAATGCAAAATAATATCGTGATGACGTCATTCGAAAATATCAAGAACAATTTTTTTTCACTTCTTCAAACTCTCACAGCCCTATGTAATGACAAAGTCGTTGACTTCATTTTTTAAATTTTACCTGTTTGAAACTCGTTTATAATACCAAACTTTACAGGAATTTTTTTTCAAATTTGATGATGGGATCTTTTGCCCATTAACGTCCTGTCTAAGAAAATATCGGGCAGTACTCTGGACTACCGAAAATCCCCATTGGAAATCAAGTTGGAAAGCATATATAGTTAATAAAAATTAAAAAAATAAATATCTTACTCATCCAATCGAATCTTACTCAAACAATATAAATATATAAATAATTGTAATTATTAATATTAATAAAATAAACTAGTTTTTCGTGATCACTCGAGCTCGTCTGAAGACATATAAAAAATCAAGAAGGAATTCATAAGAATATTTCCAGAATCCCTAGTTGGATTGGGATCAGTTCCATTAAACCAGCCAAAATACTTGACAGTGTTCAAAGAACCATTGTTGTAGATTTGATCAGTGACATCCACAACCCAAGGTACTACTTCTTGGCCGCAACACCAACCATTTCGACCATACAACCATGTGCCATGCTCATTAGGTGTTACCCCTTGTTCTACACGATTAGCGCACCCCATTGCTGAAGCTGCGTTTTTGAAAACCCTAACATTTGTTTCCCCATTGATGACGAAGTGATGTGACGTCACACAGAATTCAGCACATCCGTGGTTATCGCTGCCATGACCTGTGATCGTTGCGACGAGCTTAACTCGTTCGGTCTTACGCCCAACCTTAAATTTGATTGGTTTGTAGCGTTCATTGTAATGTTTATCGAATTTTCCACCACTGAAAAGTTTAATTGCTTTATATGGGACAATAAACTCGTCCTCGTGATGTCCACTGTAGTGGTGCTTGGAATCTTGAATGGGATTTTAAAAGAAAAGAATCATTAAAAATTGGGGTTTTTTTATTGTATATGTGTGTGTGTGTGTGTGTGATTATTGATAAAAAGGGGAGCATGGTGATAAGGGCAAATCAGTCACGGCAATTCTACTTACAATGAATGTGATCAGAAAGTCGAATATCCAACGATGGCCTCCATGCACGCTCCCAGAACGGGTGCCTCATTGTTAAAGTACATCGTTCACCGGTAAAGAGTGGTAGCAGAGGAGTTATCTTAGTCAACCATCGACCTATACCCCTAATAACAACAACCAATAACATCTCTTAGCTTTACTGGGAACAGAAGTTCAAGCCGCATGCTATCCCTATTGTGCTGAGTCTAGTTTTTCAGGATAAAAGTAACAGAATCGGCAGGTTACTTCCAGGGATTCATTTTATGGATCTTTAAACATTTGTATAGCCCCACAATAAGATATGATTTGAATAATACCCTGAAACTATATCTGCACTGAATATGGCCATCACGGACACAAGGCATCTAGAACTGTTGCCAGCGTACGTTGCTGCGGGCAAAAACATCATTTGCACGATGCGCGCAAGAAACTTTTATGCATTGTTTTCCGTCAAAGACATATGACGACCTAGATTTTGTATCTTAGCAAAAATTGCGAAACGTTCCTTGATTTATGTACATGTACACCTTTGACGCTAATAGAAAAGGCGTCTGTCTTCAGCAATGTCGCAGTCATAAAACAGCTGCAGCAAGTGCCTTTGCCTTTATCGCTTTTTTCTGTTTATGTGGATTATAATAGTTATGAGGGAGCTCGGTGTACAGACGATCTTAGTTATACATCACATTAAACAGTACAGTATGCCCAAATATTCATTTCTAATAGAATGCTGAAATCAATATACCCTTCATATAGCTTGGGTGTAATGGTTTCCTATTTCAGACCAAATGTTATTCTCTCAGGAGTATCATTTCGTTGTTTAACGGTTGCTAATGAGAAGAATCATGAATATTGCAAAGCAAACAAACAAACAAACTATTGCGGCCTGAAATGGGAAAACATTAAAATCCAATCAAAAACGGTCTATAATCAGGCCAAAATTTATATCTACTGACCTTCTAAAGGGGGTAATCCATCGCCCTAATTCCTCATTACACAAAGGATTCCTCTTGTTACAACAGATAGTTAGTTGTACAACATGGTCCCAGTGCGGACAGTCGTAATCGTATTTACTTGCACAGTGAAGAGTCATGTCAAGTTCAACGTTTCTGTATAGAAGAAGCTCTAAAGGGAACAAGTTAGTTATTTGTAGTTCTCGTTTGGTTTTTTCAAAAAGTTTATTACGAAGGCAAAACGCAACTGAATGAATGGGACAATATCTAGATCGTCTCTCGCATGAATAAACGATTATAATGCATAAAATGATCGCTTCTTGGGGGAGGGGGGTTTAGTAATGGCGCCTTCTTCAGTAGTACCCTTCCCAATATCTGTATAAAACTACGGCTATAACAAATCTAAGAAATAGACCTCTTCGACTCTGACGTAATGTTTTCCCATTTCAGACCACAAGTCATTCCCTAGAGTATCATTCCTTTGTTTAAGGTTTGCGCTCGGTTGCACATGAGAAGACACATGAATATGGATACAGCTCAAACAAAGAATCTTATTCTCAAGGAAATGACACGTGGTCTGAAATGGGAMAACATTACGTCAGAGCCGAAGAGGTCTATTGATTAGTTACCTTTAGTTGGTGGTAATTTAATAGTTGTAACTGCTCCTTTGCGACCTTCCATAAGGGTGTGGTTAAACACGTGGATAATCCGAGCGCTTCCAGTTAAGTTGTGAATAAGGTCGGTCTTGTAGTTGAACCTGAAATCCAATATCATAATAAACAATCCTACAATAATTTGTTTTATTATATAGTAGGTCGCTATTGGTTCACTCTTAAAACTCCAGTGTATGCGGGCTTAGACCATTACATTGGGTATCTCATCCTGCCGGTAGTTTACGTTTGCTCGAACAAAAATGATTGCGATAAGCGCAAGACAAGGGAATGAATAGCAACACTTATATTCCTATCGTTTAAACTAATTCAGTAATGGATATAATTGCGCGTTAATGGACTTCCCTATCTCTGATCTATATAGGTTCTTAATGTTACTTACCACTTGGCTTCATAACCCATAAACAACATTGACGGATACAAGAACAGGCCAATTTCTGCTAACTTTCCTTGACCATCGATGGCAAAAAAGAAGTTTTCCTGGGGAGTTGATTGGAATGACGCAAAGAGATCTTGTCCTGATAGTAGCTTATCTTTAATCGCCATACCATCTTCATGTCGAATCATAGACGCAGCGATTCTTAGAGGGAAATAACAGTGTTTTCCATGACATGCTAATTGTTGTAGTGGTTTGTTAGATTCTTTTATGATGAGCATAGCATCTACTTTAGCTCGGGACATGTGTACGATCTAAAATCAAGTAGGCATGTATCAGTGAAGCAAGGCCAATGCGCACGAAATTTCTTTCAATAAAAGGGGTAATTACATGGAAAGAAAGTAACAGGACCAAAATAGGGTCATTTTGGTAACTAAAGAATCTCATTCTTTAGTTCGTCGAGGACAACTGTATTGCGTTGCGCGCGCAAATTAAGTGGCTGTATGACAATGTAATTCCTAGAGCTTGCGTTCCCCATGATAATGCAGGCTCACTCTAGGGACGAGATTGAACGCACGAAAGAGTGAGGCAAATGAGAGAGGATAAAACACCAACCACGAAATTAGTTATTAAAATGAGTCTGAATACCTTGTCGAAAAAGGAACAATCCCCTGAAGCTGTAACCAACGCAAGTTCTCCAACTCCCTTTTTGTGCTTATTATTTCTCAGAATTTTTTTGTTGGTCTTATAGTTTTTCTTGCTTTTATTCTGGACATGATCTATACTAGCACACGCGTCTCCGTAGTACTTTAGCTTCAAGCTCTTATGCTTGTTAACTAATGTATGGGGAGATGGTAGCCAGTCATAACGAGCATCAAGACGTTCCATCACTTTGATGATATCTCCTAAAGAAGTACAATTTGCAATAAGCGTGTGATAAACATAGAAGTCCACTTTAGGGTGGTCCACTGTAATTGGCCATGCTGTTGTTGTGGATCCCCAGCGGCCTACCTGTAACTTAGGGGTGCCCAGCCTACCCGTAACTTAGGGTCTACTAATGTGTATTCGTAGAGTGCAACTATGTAACCGCGGACATCTGCGTGAGATATTTTAAAAAAACAATGAAACAGCCGCCATCCTAGTTGATATAACAAGGGAAGTTTGATGAGGAATGCTTTGTATAGTCAACCAACATGGCGGCTATGACATAACATGCACCCCAAGATTTAGTCTAATATCTATTCACGGGTTTAGTGATTTCACTCTAAGTGGCATGGACTAAAAAGAAAAGCAAATAGCGCACAAATAAATCACCTGATTTTGACTTTATGGCCACTTGTGAGAGAGCGCAACTGGATCCAAAACACTGCCAATGGTTCATGATGTAAGGTATCCAGTTACCAAACTTAAATAGGGGGAGCTCCACAAAGTGCAACCTCTTCTTCCAGAGAGTCTTTCTTAATGAATTACAGGTGTTTTCGTGATCACTAAGACGATCATGATCCTGGTGATCGTTATGGCGCTGGTCACCATTTTTTTGATGATGTTGTTTCTGATGTAACTTCTTTAGTTCATCCAAAGTGTACAGTGACTGCTTTTCCCTCTGTTCTTTATTCTTACGACTGTATGAGCTGTAGTGTCGTTGTGATGTTTTATGGTTGCAATATCTGTGCCTGAAAATTACAAACATCCGTGACTATTTATTAAATAAAGTTTTTCTTAGGTACAGTTGAGTTCATAAGTAAGCTATCCCCATCATTTCTACCATAACAACGATTTTCAATAAATTAACAATAAACTTCTCTAACATAGAGTTTTGCGTAATCATACTGAGAATTTATAAAAGACATAAAACTATTGCGCGCATGTGTATAGCTTCAGCTAATGTCAAGTCATTCCACTGAGTTTTCTAGGCTGATTTAAAGTCAGATGTTAAAAGCAAAAAAGCAAAAGCAAATATAAAAACAAAGAATATTGATGGAACTTATTCTTTGTTGACAAAAGTCATTATCCTTGTTATGATTTACATATTATACCTGTAGAATTGGTCAACAGCATGATAAATCATTCGCTTCATCCATCGAGCTTCTTCTTTTGCATTCTCACTAAAAGACATAAAAACATATCGCGTATTTGTCGGCGAGTTCTTTAGAAGGCCAGCTATTGAGTGATAGTCGGACCATAGGGCCTCCAAAAAGGCAGAACGGTTTGTGAATACATGAAAAATGATTGGATGCTGTGGTATCTTGGAGTCCTTGTGTGCTTTCTCGTAGGCGATCCTCCCATTTAAAGTTTGAAGTGAAAATGATGGTGCCAATTCTCCTGGCTTGAGTATTGACAACTGGCCAATAGTGTACGAGGCTATCAAAAGAAATATCGTAAAAAATGCAAAGATTTTTTTCAATTCTTTCATTTTCTCCCGGAATAAGTTTCTATGATGATCACACTGTCAGTAATTAGAATTGTCATCACTAACACTTCAGAGAATTTACATGTGATCAGAATAATAAAGTAAAGCAATCAAAATCGTGATACTAAAAAATATTATAAAAGCCTTTTCATAAAAACAGGAATACAATAACAAAGCATATATGTTAATTACTTTTTTGTATAAAATATTGTTTGATAGAATATTTTAAATACATTTGAGAATGAATGATTAACGGGCAGATTCTCCTAACCTGTTGTGTCACCAAACAGCGGGTCACTTTTACCTCAGGAGTTTCTTTTGCTAAGGAATGGTGGTGTGTAGTTAGTATTAGTTAGAATCGTTCAAAAAGGTAAGATACATATCTTTAGAATTCATTAAGACATAAGTTTCCTATAAGATATGGAATGGAACCAAAATGTAATCATTTAAATGTCGGTTTTCTTATAACAGTTCTTAAATTATGCACGGTTGCTTAGCGGTTAATTTTGGTAATAATTTTCATGCCAAGCGATATTAGTGATGAATGGCTTATATGATTTAGCTGTGATTATATTTATTATACCTTACTTTATTTAATACACCTTAAGGAATTATATATATAAACCTTAATATATTATTGATACTTTTTTATAAAGTTACTGATACATTAGAGAGGTGAAATTTTGATTGGACTCGCGTATACCTCCCGGTGGAAAACTCATTGAAAGTTTTAACTCAAAACTGATGAAAATCAAGCAAAAACAAGCGATTTTGATTCATTTCCTTGGATATTATTTAAAAAACACCGGTACACAAGATATCAAAGGAATATTCGAAATCCATTGAGACTGCACAGAAAGCGATTGAGCTAAGTGGAGATTTCCAGGAATCGGATGATTGGAGTTGGGATTGCATAGCTTTAGGATACATTAATCGATTGTCTGAAAAAAAACTCGTTTTTAGGGATGGGGGAAATCCTGATTCCCAATTTTTTTAAAGAATACTATGTTGAAGTCATGTAATCCAATTTCAATGGTGCAATGCTTCACATCCCTTTTTCTGAATTTCCATGATTTCCCCTGACGATTCACTGTGCAAAACCTATTTTACTTTCAAATTTTGTTGAAATCCTGAAACAACTTCTGGGCTGATCAAAGACAGGGCATGGCTAGCTCACAGATCAAATTGGAATTTAGCATTTTTTCGATGAGGAAGTAAAACTAGAAAACCTGAATGAAAACTTTCAAATTAAACTCTTACAAACTCTACTCACATGTAGTGCCAAGTCCAGGAGTCAAACCAGAGTCCCCATGCAGAGGTGAGACGCAAGTGCACTATCTATTGCTTCACCAGTTGATAAAATACAACCCGAAAGAAATCCTCGTACCTGGGAAGATACTCATTATTACTGATACTCTCCAAAAGTCCAGTTACATCTCACTCCTGACACTATTTGGCAAGATGGAGGCTTTCCCATTATTAAGACTGTTTTATCACAATATGAATGACACAGGCAACGAAAATTACATCCTTGATTCCATATGCACAAGTATCCATACAGTTTTCTATTCATAAAAGAAACAATCGCCACACATACTTGTGATGTTTACCTGCAAATAATACAAGATAATATTAAGTCATAAATACGATTACTAATGTAAATGATTTATATCCTGAACAGAAAATTAGGATGTTTGAGGAACATGAATACTTGAAGGCTGCAAATGAAATCAACAATATTGATATTGAAGGGTTCGAGTTCTTTACAGAGTCAAAACAGGATCATGTAAACTGTAAAATTTATAGGAGATACAAACAGGTGAGTTATATGCAATCTTGTATGCATGATAAATGTGCATTTTCAAACTTAAATATACATAATCTGTACTACGTAACCTATTAATGCTGATGTCATATTCCCCTTCACTTAAGGACTCTGGTCTCTATGACTACAAGATCCTTGGCAACCTGTTAGATGTTAGCTATGAGAGATGTAAAACAGTCTACATGGATCTTGAATACAGAAAAGTGTGGGATTCATATGTCAAAGGTGTAGAGGTGTATTTTTTAAAGGCTACTATATGTGGAGCCATTTATAAGGAGCCACAATAGCTGAAATTATAGTGGGGGATTATCAGGAATGAAGAGTTCATTTACAAGGTATAGGTTGAACTGTTATTGCAACATGACCAATAATTTTTGCTTTCATTCTCCAACAGATTTGTATGAATTTGAAAAATCAGGAGTAAAAGGCATTTACTGGAATGTAAACTATCCTTTTCCCTTGTCAAACAGAGATGTATCTTTTAAAATGAGGAGTATTATTATGTCATCATCATCATCATCATGAAGGTGACCCCCATATGTAGAGGTTGAATTACCACATAGCTATGAAGCAATGTTTATTTTTGAATATTTTACATTTATGCAAATTTTTAGTGAAAGATTCGTATCCATTACATATTTCTAATCTTCGTTATTTTTAATCTTACATACGAACTCAGCTCTCACAGTCTTAGTTTTCCATTTTAGTTCATATTCCTTGTGCAAATAGTTGGCTCCCACAGTTGTAAGTTAATTCATGTAAGCCCTGAAAATGGCCAAATGGCCAGAAGCTTGGCAAGAGAATAACTTTTAAACATTAGTGGGTACAAATCTTTCACAAAAAAATGCATCCTATGTTTGAGAATTCACTTGAATCTATGTAATTATTTTTTATTTTTCCTTAATCCATGTGTGTTTCCTATGTAATAAGTATACATACATTAGTTCTTTATATGAACTTGAAGTGAATGGAGTACCAACAACAGTAGTCCTGGCAAGAAGCCACTTAGTGAATGACATTCCTCCAAAATCAGGAGTTGTAAGAGTGACAGATTACATACAAAGCTTGACCATACAGGGTGATGGTAATGTGGGTACTAAAGGCAAGTTGGTCATAATAAGTTGCTGATGAGAGTTGTTTCAAAGATATATATAAACAAAAGTAAAAGTTTGTTAAACATTTTGAACAAAACTCAAAACGTTTACTCAAAACGTTTAACAAACTTTTACTTTTGCCTATATATATTTTTGGAAAAAAAGCAAGTTTGTAACTGCATTTTACAAGTATTATTCTGGGTGCTATTAGCAAAATCATTGGTTTTTAAGCCTCTTTTACACAAACATCCTTAGAGTGGTCAGAAAATTCTTGTTCTAGAAATTGAGGGACTAGCTGCCATTGATCAGTAATTGTCAATGGATCGCTCAGCCACAATCAATAGATAAACCATGGTCTGACTACTCATCAGTCTCAGCTGCAAGAACAGCATACCCTCATTTACTGAGAAGCATACACATGTCCATGCAAGCAATTATTAATCAATTATATATATTACTTCTCCTGCCTAATCTTAGTTTAGTTCCTGCAGCCCACTTGAGTTGATGACTTTGAAAGAGCAATATACAATGGAATTCGAAGTACACAATGATGCATTCAAAGAAACATATGACATGTACAATTAATATCGTATTTGCTTTTAACACTTACAGCCTACATGTATTATTTTGACAATCCTGATGGAATGATCCCTACATGGCTGATCAACTGGGCTGCAAAGGTATGACACAATAACTAAGGGCCACATATTAGAGCACCCTATGAAGAAAGGAGGCTTAGACTAAAACAATTATTACTATGTTGTTTACTTGTTTAAGTGCCATAGCGCTTATTTTAAAAAGTAAAAAAAGTTAGTTTTATTCGGGGGTGGTGCTAATTTAGGGGTGGTACTTATTCTAGGGTAACGGTTATTAATAATTTTGTTCTTAGATGTGGTGCTAATATTTGGGGATGGCTTATGTGAGGGGCACTGCTTAAATGAGTAAATACAGTATACCAAACTATAGGGTGGTGCCAGGAATTTATCTATGGGAAAAGCAAAAATGGGGGATGGGGGTTTACAGCCCTATGTAGTTCCTTCCTCTCTGCAATCTCTGATGACAGGTGGTATATTTTGTCTGGTTAATTTGAATTAAAAAAGGTAATACTGTAATGATTATAATGCTGAATTTACTAGGAACCGGACAAATCTTTAACTGGTCAAAACGTTGTACGTTGAGGGGTTCCATTCACACAAAACTCTGCTATCCTTGGACAAAAATTTGTATGCTCAGTAGTGCAAGTTTGGGACCTAAAAAATCGAGTTCGAATATTTGACTTTTGACTGACTAGCCTCATGTTCATAATTATGTAAACACAAAAGTGTTTTCACATGTAAGAGAGGCTATAGGCAGTCCAGAACAATAGTTATTCAAATTGTTCACCATATTTTGATTTGGTGTATACTGTTAAAACTAATGCATATTAGTAAGTTTACCTGTTTTCATTTTACAGACTGGTGTTCCAACATTCATGACTGCTATGAGACAAGCTTGTCTAGGATATGATGATTACCTTAAAAAGTACAAGAAATAATATTTTTAAGTGCATTCTGATATTTAAATTTTGATATGATTAGCATGGGTAAATAAGCCATGTAATTATGTAAAGATCTTCATTTTGTTATTACTGTACAGTATTTTAAAAAAGCAATTTTTTCAGTTGCACAATCTTATTTTAAAATCTGACATTGTAAATTATAAATTTTGATAGCATATACTAGGTAAATAACCAACATTTAAAACAGATCTTCATTTACAGTCCTGAAGTGGTAAAAAGGGAACTTGGATTTGTCTATTTTGCCTAGAATTAGGAATTTAGGTCACTGGGAATGAAAAAAATAGAATGGAAAAAAATGTTTTCAAAGAAAAACGTTTGGGATTTGGACACTGGGAAGTGGGATTTATAGAAATAAATTGAGTTTAGTATCCTCTTCATTTCATTATTTTATGGAGAGCAACTAATTCTTAGTTGCAAAATCTTATATTTAAAATTATTTTTGATATGCATTGTAATATATAAATTTTGGTATAGCATATATATAAGGCAAGTAAGTGATATATTTCACTGGTCTTCATTTTATTTAGCAATTTTTCAGTTCCAAAATCTTATATTTAACTTATTGATATGTCAAGAAATAAAATAATTGGAAAAGGTGAAATGTGGCCATTCATTAAAAATAAACTTGTCACTACTAATCACCACTGCAAGCACAGCAGTGGTGCATAACAGGTTGCACTGAAAGCATGTGAAGGCCCCTCTGGAAGCTGCTACGTATGTAGTCCATGTATGACCCCAGACCACAGCTTTAACCAGTTTGAATTAGTTAGGGTCAATTTTGAGGGAGGAAAAAACAGATGGCCAGAAAAAAACTCAGAGTCAGAAACAGAACCCACCTACTTTGCTGACATGGGGCAACTGGGATTCGATTCCTGGCCGTCAGAGGTGAGAGGTAAGTCTTTTGCCACCATGTCACACTGGCTCCCCAGGAACATTAGAACTGCTGTCAACTCTTATGCTTATACCTTATGCTTTCTTGTTATGAATGATGCTGAAAAATCCAAAGCTGGAAATGACATAAGGGAAATGAAAATATTGAAATTTTGACTAAAAAAGTGCGAAGGGTGTAGGTAAAAGCCCACCCACTGTTTCTCAATGGTTCCTATAACAAACAAAAAATCTGATAAAAAGTGTCGCTCTGAAGCCAGTTTCAATATCCATGAGGCCTGGTTTGCTGCAGGTAGCTCTTGTATCAGCAATTTACCCTTGTTGGACAATGTGATTAGAAATGGTCATGTACAAAAATAATGTATTTTTACAAATAATCTTTTTAGAAAACTTGAATAGCAATGAAAATTGTATGAGATTGGGAATTAACATCATTTATTAACATTTATCACTAATAAGTGGTTACACACTCTGATTGGTCAAGAACTGTGCTGTGTTAGTAAACGGTACATGGTACATGTCAGGGTTGGGGGGAGACGTAAGTACAGCTGCAACAGCTTTCTCCAATGCATTACTGGACATATAAGACATATCTCTCATGATTTTCATCCACCCTTAAATGAATTAGTACTTCAGGGTATTGGGATAGGCCATGCGTAAGTATGAAGCATAAAGCTTTCCCGCTCACGCTTATGCCGGTAAAATTCGTTGTCTCCTTAACGACGGGTGACAAGAAGAACCTGCTAAGGAAATTATTCCTGCGTCGAGTTATTACTATGATAGGCCTTGGCGGCAAGAATCGCGTACCAACACATCTAAAAAGTCCTGGTTAAGATATGGAGCCTCCCATGCATTGAATCACTGAATAATTAAGGTTAACGGTAGCTGATTTTAGCCTGGTTGTGCATGCGCAGGCGACACTGATAGAGATATTTTCCGCGCAACACTAAGACTGATAATCTGAACTCAGTCACGCAATAGTGGAATAAAAAAAACTATCGACTATCGTAGAATAAAAAACGTGGGATAATAACTCGTTATAATCATTGAAATTCGCTGGCTTTTAAGAACAATATAAAAGCACTGAGATTTGTAACCACTAGGTTACAAATCATTTCGGAAATGACACGACATTCTCATATCAAATTCGGTATTATGTCTATAGTGATTAGGAGCAGGTAATGAAACAGTACGACACCATTTTTGCCTATAAAAATATGAGTAGGTCAGAGGCTATGTAGAAAGAGTAACTAAATACGTTTTTAACGAAAAGTCTAGATGGTTTGGAACTGAACGAAAATGTACAGTTTAGCTAAAGTCATCATCTTTACTTCGCCTATAAATCCCAGTTTGCTGTTCGTGATACTGCCTCTCATTAATACTTTTTGACATCTGTGGTTAAAGCCTGCAGCGATCTTAGTTAGTGGTTTATTTGTTTTGTCATTCTTTGTACCTTGAATCGATCGATAGCATAAAAAGAGACAGATTTCGCTGAGTGGGAGGGAAACGTACGGTACTTGGTCTTTCCAACAGTTTCCGCTCTGTAATGATCACGAGGCAAAAAAAATCGGCCGTACTCTAACCAACTAATATTCATAATAAAGTGATTTTGTTGAAAGAGTGAACACAATTTTGTTGCAAGACTGAACATGGTCCTGACAGGCCGCTGAAGCCCCTAAGATGTTGCGTGGGCGTAAGTTTCATTGAAGACGTACATGAAAAATAATAGTAATTAATTTGACGCATGCCGGGTAGCTTTGGAAGTAAAGAATGAATAATCTTTCTGGTATCGACTCGTAAGCTTACAAATGTATGCAATCCAGGATATTGTCGAAGAGGAATAATAATATTATTTTATAAAATTTTTGCATTTTTTGATAGTCTTTTTACAGGCATATATGCTACTTGAGTATGGGAAATGCAACTTGAATCTCGAATGTCTATATATCTCTATAGAGAACACTATGGCCGGTTTTTGTTTTTCATCCTATGCAAAGTAGAGACATTACTGTAGGGTAATTTTCAGCTTAGCAATCAAGATACATCAAAACACGGCAAACAGAATATTAACAAGGATATTGGCACCGTAAATAATTCATTTCGAAATGAATTAAAATTAAAATCGCAAAAACCTAGTTATCATTTATAATCATTAGAAAATAATTAGTTATTTGAAGAATTTTCCATGTTGCTGTGTAGGGCAAAGTTAAAAAGCAAGCGGCTTTCTTCCCGCGAGGCAAGCAATCCAAAAGTTGAAATGCTTTAACTTTGCGCTTAATTGCGTGAACTACCATCGCAGAGAACTCATAGCAAAAAAATGAAAAAAGGAAAGAAAATATTACGATATCGAAAACGAAAAACGGTGTGAAGTTACGATAATCAAATATATAGTGAAATTATTTTTTAATTAGAATTCATGATAAATATCTTGATAAACCCTCGTGTTGTAGTTTTAATTCCCATGAAATTGACGGCGATGACGACAAACCACACTTCCTTGATGGAGAATAGGTTAATGACAAATCTTTAGCTTTGCCGCTGGCAAAGCACCACCAACTTATAAAATTGGACTAGTAGAAGGTGAAGTTCAATCCGAAATGTCTGCGGCTGGATTGCATTTGTATCATAATAGCACAGAAAGTGAATGAAAAAGACATATATAATATATATAACCCGGTTGTATGACTGCCTTCAGTTTATAAAGTCGAGTTTCATTCTACCAAACCATTGGCTTCGAAGATCTGGTTTTCAATCGATATCATAATCCACAAAATGGAATAGACTTGATATACATGCTTTTACTGAAAAAAGACACGTCGCGTTTCAATCCTGCTAATATGAGCCATTGTAGTCAAAGATCAATTGTAAGCCACTAAGATAATTCATACAAAATTACACGCACAAAATATCTTTCCAAAACAACTGTCGAGTACGCCATCGATGAATGTAGAAAATTGAGAATGACATCATGGCCGCCCTCCATCTTAAGACGCCGACATTAAAGTTGATACCAGAGGGGTAAAAGCCGTGTGTGATTTTGACTATGATTGGTCTCATTTATTTGTTTTGTCTTTATTTTCTTCGGAAGAAGATGTGGTAGCTTCTTGATGGAGAGCAAAAAGTTGTCCAATTTGTTCGTCTGAAAAACTATCTATTTCATTGACCGATAAGTCATTTCCCAAATTCCGAAGACCTTGTTTTTGCTGTTGCTGTAACATGTCCGCATACATCTAGAATAACAAAATCGGCAAAGATTAGCCAGTGAGCAATACGAAAATAAAAGATTTTACAATTATAAATAAAATCCGTTTCTATCATTGCTACGACTGCGGCAATAGTTACAATTCCACTAATGGGCTTCACTGTTGGTTTTGGTTAATTACAAGATGTGGCGGCATGGATCACCGGTAGCTCTAGATCAATGATGATATTAACTTACCGTATTCCCCCCACTTTAACAACTGATATACTTTGATTCTAGTTAAAATACAGAGAATTAACTCTGGTAGTTCACTGCGTGTTAAACTCAAAGCATTCAAAACACCTTAGTAACGAAAAATGATATTCCTAAATCATGATGAACTATACCCTACTGCAAGGCCGAAATAATAGTTCTTCTTGTTCATGCTTGACCGCAATGCTGCTCTCATCCTATCTCATTCAATACAACTTGCTCAATATGTTACGACACGTAGAGCTGTTGGAAGAACATGTTGATGTGATCAAGTAATCCGACGTCAAATGAACGACATTCTCTCCCTCTCTTGATTAAGAGGGTTTTTCCCAGGTTTTCCGGTTTTTCATTCCTCCGCCAAACCCAACTCTTTCTTTCAATTCGATGTGTGCGTTACCCTTGCACTGACTCTCGTCAGCCCAAAGAATGCTTCAGGGCTCGACTGACAAAATTATACTGAAATCATTTCTTATTTCCGTTTTTTCCCATCCATTTAGGCTAACACCAACCTTCCATTCTTGCAAAAAATCAGCACCTTGTTCCATTGTCACATTCTTGTGTCTTCTGAACTCATCTCTTATGTACTGATCACCCAGGGCTCTTAATTCTAGAGGTAAACCACGGTGCAGTGATAAAATACGACAATAAAGGGTCTTCACCGCATAAACATGACTAGTACTCATGGTCATTAATTTTCTGGGGAAAAAAGTTATAAAGTAAAAGCTGATCAAAATGCAATTTGAGATTAGCATATATCATAATTAGTATAGTACATGATTCAATACTCCATTTTACAGTTCCATTCAGTGACCATGAATAATTGTTCCTAGCCGAGGCTGGAGTTACCACACATAATAAACTGTAGTTTTGCTATGCGCGGAAACTCCAGCCTGGGCTAGAAACTATTATTCGTGGACACTGAATGGAACTGTAAAATGGAGTATTGAGTGGAAAGCACTAAATCTGCAAGACACCTTCTATACGTTATCATTTTAAGTATAACTGTAAGTCAAACTAACAGCCACAGTTACTATCATTACTTTATAATCGTGGGAAATATATTGTTAAAATCATTTACGTTTTTGGGAAAATGAACTTATGAGAGCCAAGTCAAGCACTCCATTATCAAGCTATATCTAATCAGGTCCCAGTTGCAAGGGACTCAACTAAATAATACATGTCACTTTAATGTTTCTTATTTTCATCCAAAAACTGACTGATGGCAGATGTGTGGCGACTGGATGGGTCTGAAACTGAGTTCTTTCTAATGTAAATCAGATTAGGCCAGATCCAATTATTGTTCTTGCCTTCTTTCATAGCTGTCATCACATAATGATGACAACAAGCCTATTTACATGTACAACAGACCCCTTTAGCTTGGGCATTGTGATGTTTTCCCATTCAGACCCCATGTTTTTCTCTTTTTTTGCTTAAAAGTTGCACATGAGAAGACACATGAATATGGATACAACTCAAACAAAGAATCTTATTCTCAAGAGAATGACACATGGTCTGAAATGGGAAATCACCCCCTCCAAACTAAGGAGATCTACTCAGTAACAATATTAAGTCTTACTAATAATTTCTATTTAATTCTATTCTTGAAGCAATATTTGCTTTTTGATACATAGAGGCACTTATGAAATAATTAACAAAATTATGCCATTCTTTTTAAATAATTATTAATAGATGTCAGATTATAATCAAGTAGATTCGTGATGATAATGATGATATTTACACTAACGCCAATAATGTTCCCACAAACTAATTAATTTGTGGTTTTTGTCCCTTCCAACTACATTTTCTCAATTTGTTTATTTATAGCACCTTCATCATAAAGACAGACCTCATATGTGTACTGAACCTCATCCCCATAAAATTTGTACAGTTTTAGGTTTTATTGTACCTTCATTCTGTCTTTCAACATACACAATTATATATTTCTCTCCTTAATGGTACAATAAACTGTTGTTGTAAGATGTAACATCAAGGCCCTAATTGGGGTAAATTCCAACAAGCAACATGGTCCTGAAATGGTGACACAAGAGCTACAAACTAGCAACAAACAGTCTGTTCTAATGAATAATTACACCAGCAAGGCCCTGTTAGTAGTAAATTCAGACAAGTGACATAGGAAGGTTCTTTATATAAATTGCAACATAGGCATTTGTGAAATTCAGATGGAGGACATGCATACCCCTTAATAGGGAAACCCCATGAGAATCATTTGCTTCAGACTTACAGAATACATTGCAACTAGATGGTAATAGGTGGGAGGGAGTGAGTTTACAATGATACCACCATTGGCTTCTCAGCAACAAATATTATTGTAATTATTAAAGTTTTTGCAATAATTTTCAAAGATTGAATAACCCATTATTGTTATTGTTCTGGCTGTTGTTATAATGATGATAATAATAATGATGATAATAATAATTATTATTATTATCATTATCAATTATTATTGTAATTTATTTAGAGAGATTTACCTAATCCCATGAAATACTATTGAGCACTACTTCACTCTAATTATTTTGTTTTTTAGTGTGTTTATGACTATTACACTTTAATATTAGTACACTTTGTTTCACAGGTTAATAAAAACTAGTCTATCATTGTTGTTGTTGTTTTTGTCATTGGCGTTATTGTCATTGTCGTTATTGTTGTTGTTGTTGTTGTTATCATCATTGTCATTATTATTATCATTATTGTTGTCATTATTGTTGTTATTGTTGTTGTTATTGTTATTGTTGCTTTTTGGACTAAAAATATGAAATATACTTCTGATATATAAACTAAGTATACTACTACATAAATAATTGAGATTTCAAGCCTCTCATGCAACCTACTGAAATATTATTCATTTTATATCTTCCAGAATATTTAATAAATTTGATTAACATATGTTGGATTTTTTCTCCTTGCAGCCTTTCTAGTTACAGTATGAGAGTAGCATATATTTGTGACTTTAAAGAGACATACAATTGATGTAAGTGCTTAATGACAGATTATTGAATGCCTACATTTTCTACTTCTAGTATTTTTTTTTGTGTGTGTGTTAATAAGTCGTAGCTATGAAAATAGTGAGGTTAGATATTTCAATTTATTGGTCATGTGCAGTTGAATAAAACATCACTTGTTGAAAATCCATAATAATCATAATTAGAATCTTTCTCAATTTTTATGCCACCATTTAAATAATAAAGAACTGATTCATATTGAATAGAAGTGATAAGGCTATATGAGGATTAAGATTTATATTACTAAATGCAATTTGCATTTTGATCAATTATTACAACTTGTTTCAACTTAAAATTTTAATGTAAAATTATTTTTTAATGAAATCCATGATTGGAAATTGGGAATAATGGTGTCTATCAATTTTGTTGATTACTTGTTTGTGGGATTAATGTTTCAGTCTTTGCTATGGGCCAACTTAGAAAATAAGATTAAGCAACATTAATTGTGACATTTGAAATGGTTCTTTGTGTACTATAATGAAATCCCTTCATATAATCCTGGGTTGTGGATTACCACAGGCTTATCTATGAAATATCTTTAAATTCCATGCAAATGTACAGACAAATTGAGTGGAGTGGAACCTCAGCATTGTGAAGCTTCTGTTTTTACTAGCACTATGCAAAAATCCACTAAATATTGAGATAATCTCTAAGAATCTCAAAAATTAATGCTTTTTTATTTACGTTAGGATTCCAAAATTTATTACTCTGCGGTTTAACAGACGCTGTGATTATAACTCGTGTTTGCCGCTAAAAGTTAACAAATGTGTGAATATAGGGCAGTCAATGCAACTTTGATAATCGAAGTTAAGGCGATATATGTGGTTTACCACCCAAAAAATTATTTAAAATCGAACACAAGGTTCTTATTTATTAAAAAACTAGAACATATTCTCTTTACTTTTAGTTGTAGTCGCGGTTTTCAAGAGAATTACACAAGTATATATAATTAAAGTAGGATTATATAACATGTCTCAAACATAACGCATGTGTTACCGACCTTGTTGTGCTGCTCTTCTTGGTTTATCGAGTCTTGAAAGCATTAATTTTTTAACAAGAGTATATTTACTCCATATTAGCCTTCCATGTAGCTAAATAAATGAAAAATAAACCTTTCGAGTCGGTAAAACTCCTGCCTGAAAAAAAAATTATTCGATCTACCTCAATATATAGAAATTGCGCAGGCGTTGCTGGTGGATTGGTTCCAGTCCCCCAAGGTGTGGTTGTTTATGTTGTGATGAGATGCAGCTACGGACTGCCAGTCAAATGTGCCAGAAATGAGGTGTTCTAGCAGGAATATATCTGAATATATTTAGTGAACTAATAATGTAATATGGCCAGGTGAAGGCCTTTGTGGGTTGCCAGTTTTGCTCTGCTTTCTGTGCAGAAATGTTCCTCAAATCGTACTTAGGGAGCTCTAAAGTTCGAGATGTGATCTAAGGACAGTGGAACTTCGTTCAGGAAACATGGCGAATCATTCAGTACCGTCTTCAAACGCAGGCGGAGTGTGGAACCGTTTGTCGAAAGATGAGTTCCAACAGCTACAGGAGTACACAAAATGTAAGCCTGCTTCCTATTTTCTTATCCTTTTTATTAACTCGGAATGTAGTCTATACTGTAAGGACCTGATATAAAGCAAAAAAGCTAGTAAAGCATAGGGCTTTTGCTTTCTGATGTGCCCTTCCTGATAGACTTCACTCCCAAATAGGATTTGGAATCGAAAGCAATAAAAGAAAAATATGCCTCTAGTACATACTTAATAATCACCTAACCTGAATCTTTATCGATCTTTGATAAATTAGAACTTTTCTATGTTACGATCCCTGGATAAAAACATGTCTATGTAGGTAAGGAAATGAGAGAACGCTTGATGGTTTTGTTTATGGCTCGATTCAAGCGAAAGAAGAGAATGCTGAGGAAATATTTGTTGTTTAAGGCGAATATCGCTTTTGGCCAACTCCTAGGCCACTAAGCACTGATATATCTCGTGGTGTGTGGGGAAAGATTGTTGTTCTGTACGCAGGTTTACTTGAAAGAATAGTTCCCGACAGACGATAGGGCGATACGGAAGAAACCAACGAATACGAGCGTCGAAATATTCTCTGAAAACCAACGCGTGACTAGGCGGTAATAACAGATCAACTCTCTTCTACTTCGACTGAAATACTAATTTTACATATATAAACAATTCTGCTCGTAATTGAGGACGTGCGGCAAACAAATAGCTATCGCTATAGCCTCAACTCGTGTCCTAAAGTCGACAAGATAAGCCAGGAATTTTATCCGTTTTGCCGCTCCGTGACCCTATATTCTATTCCGCTGGTACAACGAAGCACTCTCAATTCATTTGAATAATATTTTCCTCTCGTAGATGGCGCCAGCATTTTTGGTATTCGTTATTTACTTTCTATTTCGAGATGTAAGTCAGCCTTGGCACATGTAGGAGTTCCCGTTCGGTCATATCTTTACATCGCAAATAGCTTAAATTGCGTTCAAAATTGTCGAGAGCGCAGTGAGGGCCAAACGAATTGTACTTCTGGCGTATTTTTATTCCTCTCATTTTAAGCGCAAAAACCAATGGCTGTGAATACTGCGCTTCGTATTAATTGCTGACTAGTGCATCATTAGCAACTTTTTCTATCTGTACTTTTCAATATTCAGTTTTACGCAGTGCGGCTCTGTTGGAGAGAACAGAAATTTACAAATGTAAAGCCGATTGGGACATAAAACGCGGCATGGTCTTTTAATACAGTTTTTCTTTTTGTTCCATTCTTTTTATACTAGAAGGGAATTCTGCCGTTTTTTAAGGCGAAAGAAAACGCTGAAGTAGATTGAAAAAACTGTAATTCCTCGCTACAGTGCGTTCCCTGTCCTTTTAAAAAGACCATTTAAATCTTGAATAATTTAAAGCAAAACTTGATTTTTAACTTGATATTGACGACATTCCTTCTCTCGTTTTCTCAAAGGGGTGTCGTAATTTCATGTGGCATCAATTTTTTGACGAAAACGCCTAAGTACCAAGTCATAAAATATTTATGGTTTTTGGCAGATAAACAGTGAATTACATATATAAAGTATTCCCACACTTTGAATGTTTAATTTTTATGATATTTATTATCTTTCTTTTGGGGAATTAATAATTTGCAAAATGAATTTTCTTTTTTTTTCTTTTTCTTTTGACTTATATTTAGTGCTATGATATGATGCTGTTTTATGATTAAAATGTTTATTATTATTTTTATTATCATTATAATTAACATTGATAATATTGCTTTTTGATTTTGCTGCATTTAATTATTATTCTTATTATTGTTATCAACATTTCTTTCTTTTTTTATTTATTGTCTTTGAAATGAATTTATTTTCTAGCTGCTGTGCAGCTTATTTAGTGGATTGTATTTAAATATTCCACAAGAGACATGCAAATTATACACTCAATGAAAAATATGTATACTTACATACAAATATTTATAGATTGCAAAATCATTGTTGGGTTAAAAAGCATTAAAAAAACACAAAGAAACTGAGAAGTGCTCTGGGAAATGACATAATTATCCTCTAAAAGCTTCCATGTTTTCTCTCGGTGAAAATGAAAATTCCATGAGCTGTATCACTAGATATGTATATGTGATCTCAGCTACTTTGTCTTTGTTTTTAAATCTGACAATGATTTCGTATTATTGCGTGTAATAATATATTGGATGGCATTCAGAAATGATTAATCCAATGCTCCCTGATAAATAACTCCACAGATGCTAATAATATATACCAGGTACCTCAAAACTTCAAAATAGCATATCTAAATAAGTGGTAAATTATCTAGTGATACACTAATATTAACAAGATTTTAAACTAAAATACTAAAATAGTTGCTGGAAATTCTCAATCAGTTTGTTTCTGTTTATGCACTTTAGTTTTATTTTATAATTTTTCCTATTTTTATCTCAAATGAAATGGATTTCAAACTCAACAAGATGTGTTCATTAGTAATTGTTTTCACGTAAAGCCTACAAAATTAATGTTCTCATTTGGTCCATCATTTGTCAAAAATGAGAAAAGATAGTTTGAATGTATGTATCTTGCTTAAAAATATACATGCTCTTTGGTTTTCTAACAGCAACTGAAGTAGGCATTTTGAGAGATTACTCAAAATCATTTGTTAGGCTTAACAAAGATTGTACGTACAATATCATTTGATTGGTGGACCTGGTTTATCTTGAACTTAGTTTATCTATTTTTTAAATTGTATTGATAAATGAGAAGTTAGGGAAAATTTGATAGAAAGGTAGATTTAATGAAAGTACATACATGTTACAGGCAATAAGACTCTAAAATAAATGAGAAAAAGAGGTTTGACCTTACCATTTATTTTAATAAATATGAATGTATACATTATAAGAATAATAAAACTTAAGAAATAAATAAATAAGTTTCTTTGAATAAACTGTTTTATTTAAATCATACTACAACTACTAATGTTTTTAATGATAAATAGAAAATGAATTAGAAGAAATTTGGGTTTTAGTAAAACTTTAAGATTATAAGTGTATTTTAATAAATAAAAGTTAGCTAGTATCCTGATAAACAAAATAATCCATTTTTTTGCATAATAATTTAAATACATGTAAGATCATATTTGTGGCCTTATTTGTGACAAAAGACTATATAATCACATGTGATGGCCAACCAATATTTTGTTTTGACAGATATAACGAATTTTACCTTATCAACTAAAGTATTACATATAAGCTAAGAATATGTGAAGTATGAAGAGTTTTAAGTAGAAAACATACTGTCAGTGCTTATACTGTCTGGAGGTTTTAATTCTTATCATTAATTTTAGCCATTTTGTCACTTCCGTGTGGTAATGTGATAATTGATTAAGTAGTGTTAACAAAATGAAATTTGTTGTGACTACATTGAGAATCTGCTACAAGAAACATGTGGCCTAGACATGGTCCTCACAAAAAATTATTCTTTGATATACTGGTTATAGGTATTTGGTGAAACAAGAAATAATGCAACTCGAGTCTATCTTACCCAGGATGCATACCAAGGGTCCTACATACTAATTACTCACTAATTATTGCTAATTAAAAAATCTATTTGACCACTTTTTTGTATTATCTTACATTGACACATTGCATTGACACATGCACTGGTTATTGTTACAACAAAAGACTAGAGGGAGAAATCAAAATATAGCTTCATTTCAATATCCTCTGGTATTTTTGTTCAGGAAGTTATAGATTGAAGTAAGTTTTAACCTGCCATCGAGGAATTATATTTTCAAATGAGCACCAGTCTGCTGCCTGTGAAATTTGGTCTCAATTTTGGCCATGCTTGCACAAACTACTAATTGAGCCCTAAAAACTACAAAACATTTTATTTGGAAAGACCCAGGTATGGATTTAGGGTCAGACCTACTATGGTATCATTTTGCATAATTAACAGTGAGATTCATCTAATGTCAAATTTTTGACCCCCTCCCCTTCCCCCCACTTTTCTCAGATTCCTAGATCTGTCCAGAGATCAAAGTTTTCTTTGGTTTGCTATATTAATAGCATAAATAGGCAATTAGAGTACTAGTCTCCTTTCAATGTTATACCATCGATAGTATAGTATCTGGCTCTGGCCTGAGGTCAATTTGTAGGCATTTCAAAATGGAATATAATGATAAAACATTGTGAGCTACTTGTGAGCATGTATGATTGACACTGGAGACATTGGTTTGAGAAGATGTTTTATTATATATTATTAAAGAGATAGATAAAAGTCCATGTGGTATGTTGAGTTACAATTGTATCTAAGCACACAGTCAGGAAATTGTGTGAACCAGAGAAAACTGTGCTTATACACACTTCTCAAGCATTTTCACAATTTCCCAAGTGCTTATATATAACTCATCATATATAGCACAACAATGAATTTTCTATCTCTACCTTAAAACACTCATTAATAATTCATAAGCTTATGGTCCAATTGGAGCCACCATACACGTCACGTGCATGAACCTTTATACCCGATAAAGTCCTCTTCATTAGTATTCAAGTGATTTTATATAAAGACACATGTGTCTTTATATAAAGACACATGTGATCTTTGTATAAAGACCACTCAAATACTATGAGGATGACTTCATCAGGGATGAAGTATACATTCAAGTTTAGATGAAGACATAAGGCTTCATCAAGGTCATAGTCAACCCTAATGATCTTTGACTAACGTGCCTGTCTTTGCCTTGGCATGCAATATCCAACGTGTGGGAGCTTCTATTGAATCTGGTTGCGCATGCCCGTGACGTCAAATCTCTATCAAAGTATAAAAATCCATGTTCGTGACGTGTATGGTGTCTCCAGTTGAACCAAAATCTTATAAATTGTTCATGAGTGTTTTAAGCAGTTCAAAAAACTCATAGATCGTGTTTTATCAGGTATAAAAGCACTCAGCTATGCCTTGTGCTTTTATACCTGATAAAACACTCCTACTCGTTTTTTAAACACTACTTATAAAATTATTCTAATAAAACAAAGATACTTTTCCTAAATAATAGCTTATTTTGAAACATCATAATATCTTAGCTTAAGCTTTTAACTCAACTTGGTGCTTCCAGAGTCTTCCAATCTAGCTCCAGAGTTTGTCAAAGTTTTAAAACAGCATTCATTTTTTAAAAGGGGGGTGGGCTGGAGAAATCCCTATTAACATGAAATAATATCTTTAGCCCCCTTTCTTCTGACTGCATAAAAATGTGACCCTCCCCTTGAAATTTGTTGAATTCTTGATGCTCCCCTTTACGTAGTATGAAATATTTGATGATCCCTCTTTTTGACTGAGTAGAAATTTTATGGCCCTCCCCTGGATTACTCCGGCCCACCCCTCTCCTAAAAAATGAGTGCTCGCTTAGCTAGCTACAAAATCAAAATCTTCTGATATAAATAAGATAAAAGAAATGGCAACCCAAAATTCTTTTTTCATAAGTTTTGGGTCTTGGAATCTAAAAAAAAATATACAAACAAGTTTTACATCACATGAGCTTAAGGCCCGAGCAAACGAGTGCAACATTGTTGGCCAACAACATCCAACATTGTTGGGCTCAACATGTTGGGAGCATTTGAACACCATGTTGCGTGTTGTTGGGACTTGTTGAATGTTGTTGGGTGAAGTTTGAAACTCGTCAAACGTTTGAGCCAACAAGTCCCAACATTTCTTTTGTTTCATGGTCATCGAAGCGTAGCCCAACAATGTTGCGTTCGTTTGGACAGCACATCCAACAAAGTTGCACTGGCACACGGGTAATGCATGCCGTATCCATGGAAATTTCAAACAAACAAACAAACGCAAAGCACAAAAGTTGAACTGGAAAAGCCATCGTTTTCATTATGGCGTCAGAGTTAGAAGAAGTTCCACAACACTTTTTTTTTGCTTTCTTCGCTTAGGACTTCACTTATAACCATAACTGCTATGCATTTTCGTTTCTTTGCACATTATGAGAATGCAGCCATGATTATTTCAAGCAAAATGGCAGATAAACAAAGACTAAGTTCGAAAGGTATTGTGGGTATATTTCGTCCCAGGATCCTTTGCATTGTCTTCATAATGCCCAACATAATGGGACTTGTTGGGGCCATTTGAACACAATCGCCAACATTATACAACAACTGCCAACAATGTTGCGTGCGTTTGCTCGGGCCTTTACAATGACTAATTGTCAGTAAGTGTTTTTATTCACAATATCATTGATGTTGAAATGAAATTTCCACATTGATTTTAAACAACTAGTCAAAAAACTAGAGAATCTGATCCTGACTAATCAAAGGAGACAAAGATTTAGTTTGAAGAATAATTCTCTCATTATTTTACAGTTTGGCCTTGAATTACCACTCCTTTTCATTATCCCATATTTATTTTATCGACTGTAAGAGCAAATTTCACAGACCATAGTTTTGAAATTTCAAAGTTTTTTTCCACAAATATTTTTCTTGGAAAAATCCATGTGCTTGCTAATCCTCATGATTAGGTAGAGTTATGTATAATGGTAATTATATGGTATATTTAGCTAGACATCAAGAATGCCTAAAAATTATTGGTCAATTATTAACCAATAATTTTTAAGCATTCTTGATGTCTAGCTAAATATATAATAGCACGTTTAGCTATAATAATTCTTAACATTTTGATTGATATAAACCTGAAACAATTTAATTGTGCATTAGATTCAGATACTCCGGATTTTAAATACACCTGTAATTAAAAGGAAGGCAGGTTTTAAAATAGCTACAGAGCTTTATTTAGTATAACCTTAAGTTTTAAATTTACCATGGTTTTCTTTGTTATTCATTAGAATGTGTCTTAATTAAATTGATATGATTCTAGTAGTGAATACATTATATTGAGGTATAGTTCCTTAATTTGCATAAAGTACTCATCTATCGCATACTTACAAGTACTCATCTATCACATACTGTACTTACAAGGCTAAAACTAATGGCCAGTTATCTGACAATCTCTGGCCAGAATTTGAATTTGTCTGGTCAAGTCTTCCCAAGTCTTGCCAGCCATTTTGACTCATAACATTACGCCAGAATTGATTAATGATTTAAATACTGTATCGCCTTTTCTATGTGGATTAATAATTAAAGACCCTTCACATTGAGTTGTGAATTTTAGATTGCTTTTTATGCAATTTACAAACATGAGAGATGGTTAACATGAGGTGTAGGCACTAAGAGTGGTCACTGCCAGGGTTTTGTAAGATCTTGGTGGTTCTTTTACTTCCCTGACTGATGATAATGAAGTATGTAGAGATGGGACTGGAATTTAAAGTGGTTATCAAGTACATGTAATTATGATGGCAACACTTTCTCCTCAGTTGAGACCCTGAGTGTAAGACCCTGAATGTAACTCTGCCAGCTGGACTGGAACCACAAAAAACTGCCAAAAAATGCCTGTAATCCAGCTCATACATCCTTGAAACTTATTACTATTTGATGAGCTTAAAATATGGCAAATCAACAAGATCATTAAAGACACTTTAATTTACAGTGTGCTTCATGAAGGTTAAAACAATGCAACAAGAGCAATGTTAATCGCTGTGGTTGAGGAGGAGCAGGCTTTGATGAAATCCTGGTTCAAGGGAGGTGAAAATAAATACAGTGAAATATCTCTGGCATTCTAGAGAAAATGGGATCTATAAGAACGGTACATGGAAATGCTGATTGATAGCAGCCTATGACTTTTTTCTTGTTAATTTGTGCTATGAAACTAGTGGGCTGGTAAATAGTTTTAACACAGTCTTATAAGTTTTTAGCATTTCTATGGGGTAGCTTCCATTCACTCTTATTTAAAGCTATAAAAAGTGAGTAATTTCTGTTGCTCCTTTGTGATGATAAACTGAGTATTACACTATATGCAACCAACTCCCACTGGGATGCCAATCCAGTTGGCCATTCTCTGCCAAAAAATACAACTTATTAACAGACTCTTGCAATTCCAGTTAGTTTCAATATTTAGTGTCAAAACAAAGCTTTTATGGCAGAAGGGAAGGTTTTTGATCAGATAGTGTATAAAAATTAATGTTTATAGTTATTCCTGGTTTTAGTATTCCATGTATTAATTTTATTATTTGTATTATAGTGTTTTAAAATCTAATTATTAAATGGCCTTATGCATAAGTACACCCAAGTATATACATGTATTATGCAACCTCATACATTCCAGGAAGAGATAAATAGGCTCTGTTGGGACTTGTTTAAATCGCATTTGTAAGGTGCTTTTTTTCTATATGAATACCTTTTTTTTCTCTCTATACCCTATGCATTAATGTGTATTTCGTCAAATAACATAATTTTGAAGAAAAAATAATATTCTATCAGGTTAAAATTCATCTTTATAACTTCAGTTTTGTTTGCACTATATATATCAACTACTCGGGTGTGTATAAGAGAGAAAAATTATGTTCAGATTTATTACCAAAAGAAATATGTCTAGAATTAGATCATATTCATGTATAAAGCTTTGGCTGTTAACATTATCTTTAACCAGCTTTTGAATCTTAAATGAGTAAATAATTATTAACATCTTTGTTTATTAATGCATCATTTCAAGATTAATATAATACATTATTCTAGTTTGTTTTTTTCAATGAGTTGAATGCTTATCCTTCTGCTACTGTATTTCAATATAGCACTTGCAATCTTACTCATGATCAACACCACAGCCAGTAAGAATTCAGCATGAGATTTTTTCCCCTTAACTACCTCCTAAAACAATATGTTACCTTCTTCACATAGAGGCCTGGAGATATCATTACCATAAAAGGAGCTTAAGACAAATTAATGTATGTGGATTTCAGTTTTACAGGATTGTGATTGGACTTTGTCTGGTTTTTTTTTTAGTTTTCTTAACCTCATGTTTCAATCAAACTAGACTTGGAGCAATAGGGCCATTTTTAGTTTGAGAAAATAATATGGAATATTGCTTATTATTAATGGCACAATATTGAGACTGTTGTGAAAAGGCTTTTAGTTTTTGTGTTGCACAAAAGTGACAGTATGGATTAGGATTGTGTGGTTCAAAAGAAAAAGACTATTTTAAATTTCTTTTTTTCCTGTTTGTGGTAAAGATCATCGTTTTAACCACAAACTTAAGAAATAAGGACGAATTATGGCTGAATATGTCACCAGTACTTCTGGTGATAACAAAGCAAAAATTGTAAGAGAAATTTTGAAAAAATGTAAGTGAACTAGAATATGCTTACCATCTAAACATTTTTTATCTTACTGCAAAAAGACCCTGTATTTTGGTGGATGTAAATGTATATGATTATATTTTCACATTTTATTTTTGCTGATATTTTAGATTGTTTTGTTTTATCTTTTTTTAGATTCAAACACAAGTCGCTTGACAGATGTCCTCAAACAATTCAGAGATGGAGTATATCCTAAGTACAACCCAGAGCAGGTAGGATATTAAACTAGGACGATGGAAAATCCCAAATGCTGTTCATGCAAATAAATGGTTTTTTTTTTGTAAACCACTAATCCAAATAATATATATTTCTTATAATCTGTATTGTCTTTGCTTACAAGCGAGAGCAAGAAGCACTGCTCAATTTATTGCAGAATTATGTATTCTCAATATTTGCTTTTTTTGTTTTCAGTGCGTTGTATTTAGCGCGTTGTATTTAGCAGATTAGTTTGATGTAGATTGAATTTCGATTTGTCTGATCATTTCAAAGGAACATAGCAAACTGAAAAGTCCATCTGCCAGTTTAGAATTTATTTATTTACATTACTGTCTCATTAAAATGCACAGTAACAGTGTTGAGGTTTCCCAACTCAAGTCTTGATAAATTAGGAGATTTGTCTTTTCATATATAAAAGTTCTGTTAAAATTATTTTTAAGAAGGGATTATATATTGCAACATATGAGAAATGGAAATTTAAGATTCCATATATTTTTTAAATTGAATTTAGCAGTGTTTTAATTTGGCTATAAGATGTTATTATTCAAAGGCCATACTCTCAGCATGCCACCTAGATTTATCTCAATCTCTCTTGGATCTTTTGTTTTTTTTCTCCTATTCCATTTATTTTCTCAACAGTAATGTGTCTTTTGAATATTATTTTTTTTCTTTTCCATTTTTTTATAAAATTTGAATAGAACTGTTTTTGCTTAAAAATTCAGTTCCACTTTGATTATAACTATCATTGATTTTAATTGGTGGCTTTATGATGTGGCCAGAGAATAGTTATCAATAAAATGATCATGATAAAAGGATTTTTGTTATCTTGTGCAGTATATAAAACTGTAACATGGTTTACTTTGTTTACAGTTGATTCCTGAAAGGACTTAGGGCCCCAATAAAAAGGTTCAAACTTTAACCTCAAATAAATATAAATTGGCAATATAATGACAAGAAAGTGTGAAGCAGATAATTCTATAGTCTGTTTGAAACCAAAAAAAATAAAATGTGAAAATTTACTAATGAAAATTTATTACATTTTTTTTAGCTACTAATAATTGAACAAATCACATATGGGCACTGAATCCATGACAAAGTATAATTTATAAACCATCACTAAAAAGAAGCCAATATTATGTGTTTTCCTGGAATTTATTTTTACAGCATATTTTTACTACTGGTTTGCAGTAGCAATTATGCATTTATTATAATATCAATTTAAATTGGTTTCCATTATTATTTGCTTTTTTTGTATCTATAAGCATGATATATTTTAGATGAATAGGGGAGTTTAAGGTATAGTCCAAGTTAAATGAAGTGAGTTGAAGATCAATCTTACTATAATATTTTTGGCAATTTGATCCTTGTTTTACAAAACACCTGTATGTTCTTATTTAGTGCGGTCAAACTTTAATCTAACTAATCATTCACACAGCTTTAACCCTTGTGCTTGAAATTTCAAATAAAGTTACAGGTGGGAATATCGATTTTTATAAATTGTATTTATTCAAAACCTAGCATTTGCTAGAGTTTAAGGAGTTGCAAAAAGTGTCTATGATTTTTACTGTTATGAAAATGACAAACTATTAAGTACAGTATAAAAAAATTATCCACTAGGCAATTGTGTCTTGTTAAGTCTTATTTGACATGCTTTTGACTAATTTGTTACCCATGAAATTTTATCCTATAAGCAGGAAGTTTACGTTTTTTCTTTCTGTATTTTCCATTTCTTCATTGTATTTTATGTTGCAGCCTATGGACTATGAAGGCTTCAAACTATTTATGTTTGCTTACCTGGGTGATGATGCCAACGAAGACATCTGCAAACATTTGTTCAGAGCATTTCACAAAGAGGTACCAGTCATGAGCTTGCAATCTCCCTCCTTGTCAGTAGGTGTGTCTCAGACCATCCTGGATAATATGGCTGCAGGAAGTGCATCCAAGTCATGTTCTTCACAAGACCTTACAAAGCCAGATCAAAACAGAAGAGGTGTGTGTTTGATGTTGAAGGGTTGATATCTGTTTGAATTAATATGTGTTTGATGCAATATTAATTATACGGCTTGCTCGTTATTTACTTAGCTAACATCCCTAAGGGCTGAAATGATTTTTTATTAAATGGAAGATATACTTTGTTTTAAAGAAATAACAAAGTGACATGTAATAATTTGTTGATAAATGATGGGTCATAATTTATACAACAGTCTTGTCCCTACTTATCATTTAGCAAATGTATCTAAATTAAAGGCTTAAAATCGTTAGGATGTCAGAACTCCACCATCTGCGAAAAATGCCATGAGCTATCTGATCAAAAACAGGAACTTATACATTTGCTTTAATCTTTTTTTTTTTTTTTTTTTTTTGAAAACTGAAAATTTAAAATGTTTCTCAAGTTTATATGAGGGATATTGCCTCCATAATCCTAATTGGATAAACATTTTGATTTATTTACTGAAAAAATAATACTAACTTAAAATTCTTTAAATACTCATAAAAGTGTTCACGAATTAATAAAAAGCAGGATAAATTTTTATGATCACATTTCAAGATATGAAAAAATATATATAATTTGTAAATTTAAACTTGTTAAATTTTTATCATTTGTTTGAAAAAGAATAAATTTGGCTAAAGATAAGGTATACCTACCATCAATAATTTAAATGTCCAATCTTTATCAAGACTGAAATTTAATCATAAAGAACCCAAGTAAAATCCCTTTTTTTAAAAGCTTAGTTGTCCTTATTTTAAAAAAAATACTCTAAAAGTTTGTGATTCATAACTGACAAAGAAATGACTTAGAATTGCCTAAATTCGTTTTAAAGATTTTAATAATTTGAAAGAAAGATTACTTCTAAGAGAGAACACTTAGTACATTAATAACAAACAATACAAATTTTATGATAATTCATATGCTATAATTATTAATTTAATATATTATTGAGGAAATTTGCAAACAGATATATGTCATTATACATGGTTTTGAGTAGATTTACTGCACTAATTTTTACAGAAATAATTTTTGCTGATAAAAATTACCTTTTATTGCATGATGCACCTCTGTGAAAATGGCAACATTACTAGAATACCACAATAGGAAAGTAGGCTGTAGACCCCTTGCAGCACATAAAAATGTTTCCAGTTATCAGAAGATTGAAATTCTTGTGTTGTGTCCTCCAAATTAAGCTCTTTTGAAGTCACGTGTAAGGGATCTATATACATACAAAAGCACTTCTGTTGTTTAGTCATCAAACACTACAATGATAATCGTTGATAACTTTTTCCATCAGCCATTTGTCTTATTTTTGCTTTCCTCTTAATTTCGTATGTAGCTAATTTAATTTTTGAGTTGTCAATAATTATAATAAGTATCTATTAGATTAAGTCAAACCTGTATGCAAACTGGTTTGAGTATAGTCTAATGCTGATGTTTGCTGTGACAGTTGTGTGGGTATTTGTTGCTGTTTTTCGTAAGTAATTCAATAGGTCTACTATTAACAGTAATTAAGGGGAACAATACAATGGTATATTAATGAAATCATTAATATTAACAATAACTAGAGGGTAGTAGTTAAAGGAAATGGAATAAATCATCAAGTATTAAATTCGTAATTATAATTGGAATGTAATAACATTATAAGGGTACTTATATAGATTAATTTTGTTATAGTTTGAGATAATATTTATTTACCAAATGTAATATTAATATTTGAAATAATGCCAATAATGAAACTTAGTCGTACACTCCAAGTACACATATTTTTGACATACAGGAATTTTCGTTGAACATTTTTTGGGATCATAATTCAGTCTAATCATTCACTCTAATCCCTTGCAGCCAATAACCCATTGTTTTGCAACTAGCCTCTGCAACTGACAGCCACAGCTAACATATTCAGTTTCAGAACTTCCTGGTATTCACAGTGGTGCAGGGACAGCAGCTTTAGTCGCAGCTGCTACAGCTATAGCAGCTGGTCATGGGGGCGACAAACCAATAATAAAACTATCCAAAGCCAAAGATGAAGAACCTCAGAAGGAGAATAATAAAAACCACGACAACAATGTCAACAGTAAATCTAAAAATGAGACTAAAGATGTTACATTCAGTCAAACACTGTCGCCTCAAGACTCGTCCACTTTAGGTTTGGGGTCATGGGGCAAAAAGTCTTCTGAAAAACACCAATTTCGTCGCCACTCCAGTGGTTCATTCGTCGGTTAGTATAATAATAAACCACCAATCGGTTTTAATTTTTTGACTTGATAATGTTAAAACACAATAATAATAATAATTTAACTTCCCTAACTTCGTTGTAAACGTATAGTCATTGTGCCGTGGTTTAACATCCATGTAAAACATCAGCAACTAATCGCCGTGTTGTCATAACTAAACTTCAGCATTATATCGATATTGTGCCACTAAAATCTATCTAAACAGTCGTCTTAAACTATTAAAATGCAATTTTCATATTTTTAACTTTTATAAAGCCGTTCCTAATTTTTCTAAATATATAAAATTAAAAGTTTTTTTCTTGCTTTTTTCGAGCAGTTTTCACTCAAAAATCCGGCCTAATTATATAAATTAACATTTTTAATAACATAAATTTTTTTCGTATTTTTAACTTTAAACAAATTAAACCTGACTATGAAGCTTAACCAAATAACTCTGAAATACTTCTAATTCTGCTCTTTCAACATGTCTGACAAACCCTGGCTATAAAATAGATGTGGGAATATTCTTGGACCTTTTTATCTCTTCTCCCTACCTTTTCTTGTCGTTTGTGCCACGTGCAGTCCAACTTTCTCTGTTCATTTGGTATTCTTCTTTTAGTATAGTATTAGTTTGGTTTTTGCTTTGTAGTGAAATTCGAGGTTTACAGAGCAAAAAAACGAAAAAATCGAAGGCAAAAAGAATGAGCGACTGACTGAAGTTTTTTGGAAAGAAACAGCGAGTGCGCCGCGCCTGCAAAAGCACCGCGAAATAAAAAGGCGGGAATTTAACGATGACATCATTTGTCCCTGATTGGCTGACAAAACTACCAAATTTTGGTTGCTTAGAAACCGGAACAGAATGGACAGGAAAGGGGTGCCGGGCTTCTTTTTTTTATTCACAATATAAAACTTTGCAAGATGGAAATGTTCGTAAGCGTTTTACAGTCGAGGTAGAATATATCTTTTTTCTGCTTATTTTTGTCTAAAGACGGCACATTTGCCAAGTCCAGATAATGCAGTTGTGCTTGTGCGGAAAATGGTATAGAGTATAAAACTTACTTCGAAAGCTTATTTCCGTTGTTGGTGACCATTCACTTAACACTTCACTGATGTTCTTATGCGCGTCTTTACTTCGCTGTATGTCCACTTTAAAATTCGGAAAGACCGTCGTTTGATAAGTGTTTTGAGCTGGTATTTGAGGATGCTCTTCAACTTAAGGATAATGTGCCTATCTTTTTGACTCCAGCATTCAAGGTAGCCAATGAGCACCCTCCACAACAACCTAGGTCAAGTTCTCAGAGAAAGAAAACATCTTTTGAGCAGTCTACATTACTAAATGCGTCTGCGCCTGTGAAGACTGTGAAAATGGTGTCTATACGAGAGATTGCTTGTTATTTATCGATGCTAGAGGGTGGCAAGGTTGAAGATAAACTTGAATGTAAGTGTTGGAACTTTGCCTTATTGAGATCATATTCTAGTTCATGTATCCCTTTCATCATTCCGCCTAAATTTACCCTAAATTGTTTTCTTAGTTGTTCGAGGGTTTCATATGTTCTCCTGTTTCTTTGGATTGTCCTCACCGCAAAAAAATAAACAATAAATCCTTATAATACATTCATTCAACAAAATTACTCGATTCTGATTGGACAAGAGGAATACGATTGTGGATCATTTTATTTTATTTTATGATTGCTCAATTTTGTTGAGTGTATCATAAACAAAAAATCGCACGATCGTCTTGAATTTATGGATACTCGTGATGTCTTGAAAGTTTTCATCACTCGTACCTATAAATTCCGAATTGTACTCGAGACCGTGCGATTTCCTATACTAATTGCACGATGACGTCACAGCTTGTTAAAAAGCGGGACAATAGTAAAGAACAATAAGAATTTGGGCTAATTTTACTCTGCTGCTGAATTGATAGCTCTGATATGTCTGGTTTTCGAACACTTTATAAACCGGTGTTTTCCCTACAATTTCTGATGGAATTTTCATGGCGTAATTTAGGTTTCTTGGCTGTATTCTAAAAATATATATTGTTTTCTGCCTTTTTAGTTGTTTTCAGAGTTTACGATGCAGATGGCAATGAGCTCCTCGACGCCCAGGTAACTTTTTGAACAGTCATTGAAGCTTCTTTCCCTCCCCTTTTTACTCTCCACCTAATGTTAGTTGATATGGAAAGTAATGCAAGCACCTAATGCTATTACTGATCGTTTGATGGAGCTTTAGATACTGAGGGGGAAACGTCTGATCGCAAGTTCAATATAATTTAGTCCTAGTCAAGTCTTCTACGTGCGAATAACAAATTGCTTAGTCATCAATGATAGTTTTCAACAATAAGATAACAGCTGCCCCGTCTACCATTACCGGCCCGACAATTCTCAGCACTTCCACTGTTATCCTACCTTCACCCGGCAAAAGAGAGAAAACAATCGTTTGGTTGCTTTGCCAACACTACTTCCTAACTTAACAATGTGCCCTTGATTGACGTAATCGAGTCTATCAGACTCAAACCTTACGTCATAGAATATTAATGAGTTATATTTTTCTTTTAAGCTAAGAGAGTCTAGTTTATCGTTGAGAATATAGATACCGTGTTCTATGCATTGTGAGATTGTTTAAATTGTATATGTTGGCGTTTCCGCTCCTTTTTAGGAACTGGAGTGTATTACACAACAGATGATGAACGTGGCCCAGTATCTTGGATGGGATGTTACTGAATTAAAACCTGTAAGTTAAATACCTTCAATATATTCCTTAAATTAATGTATGCAACTGAAAAACCTACAATATTTATACATTATCTGTAATCTCAGTCTTGCATGGAAGAAGTAAACTGAGGTGATGTTGAACGGATGATGTTGGTGCGGTTAAATAAAATAACAAGCGAGTTGGTGTAGCTTTTTAATAACAACTATCAAATGTTCTGAAAAATTTAGGTTCCTTTTAAATTAGTTTTAGTTCCAAAATAAGACATTCGATCTTTGGAAATCTTTGGTGGAATTCCAATGAAATTTCTTTCACTTTAATGAAAAACAACCTTACTTCCGAACCAGGACAGTTTGTAGTCCGACCCTCATTAAAAAATCATTGTGCCATGAATTTAAACTCAAGGCTTCAATTTAATATGACCAAGTATTATTAAATCTCTCGGAACAAACATGAAAAAGAAAGAGATATTTGAAAGTTGAAGAATTTTTTCTAGTCAAAACATGAAAAAGCCCAAAAGTAAAATAAAATGTGACGTCACTGCCGCCACATTGATTAAACGCACCCTAGACACTGAAAACCGTTTCGTCAGTTTTTCTTGTTAAAACAAGTACAGAATTTCTGTCAGACTATCTAAGAAATGCTTAACCGTTTGTCATCTCCTTACTGGTTCTTCAGTTTTAAAAAGATATAAAAAAGAAAATCTGAACCGTGCGGAAAACCGCAAAAAACCCCCCAAGTATTTCTAAATCATTCGAAAGTGATATTTCAGCATAGTTTTGCAATGTGGTTATGAACCATGGGAAAACACCCAAATTCATAAGTATTCGAAACGAAAATCGTCCCCATTAACGTAGCGCTCCAATAAAACCATTGAATCAGCTAAAAAATTAAAAAGGAATAGATGTATGAGCGCGGAACTGTTAATGAAAACTACTTCTAGCACAAACAAACGTTACCGGTTAGACCTATTACAGTTGTATTGTTAATTCTGACGTCACACACAGCGTGGTTGGTAAACTCGGTAACTTTTAATTGGCGTTTGCATCTGCGAGCAAATAATAGGTAAACTAGAATAAGGAACAAACTAGAATTAAGTAAAAATGACTTCGCTCGCCTCAGTTGTCCCATGATTGTCTCCAAAAAGATCGTAACTTCTGGCAGCTATTTTGAACACTGTCTTGAACACTGCGAAAGTAATATCATTGACGCAAAACGGCCGTATTGCGCCGTTGAATAATACTAAACGTTGTGTTTTCTAGATATTACGAGATATGTTAGTTGAACTCGACGATGACTGTGATGGCACTATATCCCTAGAGGAGTGGATTAAAGGCGGTCTGACGACTATTCCTCTTAGAGTTCTTCTTGGTCTTGAAACGGTAAGATCAAGTCTTTACGTTCTTATTACCATCCATACTGATTTATACTTCATAACTATGAATAAATGTAACTGCTATGCCGTAGTCGTAAATTTCATATTATTGATAAAAAATGCTGTAGTCTTAAATTTAAGATGTTTTACTAAAATACCGTATTTATTCTCTTTCTTTAGCAAATACGAGATGATGGTCAACATCAGGTAAGGCAAATGGTCTTTTTCTAGTGTCGTTATTATATTTTCTCATTCCGTTCAGTTATGCTTCTCATCCATTTTTTATTATTATATAGTTCCTGCTGTTTAAGAGTGGGGTACCGCCATTATATTTATGCCCAATTTTGTTTTTGTATACCATTATTAATCTGTGTGGTTATGGATTTTGATGATTCTAGTGGCGTCAGAAACACTTCAACAGACCTGCATACTGCAACATGTGTCACAACACACTGAATGGATTTGGTCGTAAACAGGGATTACAATGTCTGTGTAAGTCAACTGATATTTTATACAGCGTACTTCGTATGAGTCAAAAAAAACTCTGCCTGGATCAGGATAGTCCATTCAAGTAATTTGAATTGATAGGCTTAACCTCGCGTTGCTGTGATTGGTTGATAATGCAAATTTGATACCTTCGCCTTTCCGTATACCTCAATTTTTCTCTATTTAAACGAAATCAATATCAAACTTCATGTGTCGTTCCCTTAAGCGTTATTATTTTCTTTCCATCTTAGAAAATCTACAAAAATGAATATATCTCAAAAATATATATTCCCAACACGATGATAATGGGAATTCAAAGGCATCAAAATCAATTAAAAATACCCACTACATTTAAACATGAGATCGCATCCTATTTAACTAATTGGTTAACAGTTCACACACTTACTAAACGATCCTGCACCTTCCACTCAATCCCTAATCTGAAAATAATTATTTCGCTTTGGACACGATTACGGAAGCAGTACGATGTTCAGTCTCAAATATTTCGAGATGTGTTAATTTTTTTTAACGAGGTTTCGAATCCTTGAAATGATTAAAAAAATTATCATTATGTATCGTTCAATTATTGCAACACATATAGTGACGTATCCGGCTAATCGTTCATACCTCATGATGTCTTCATTCTTCTTCCGTAGTTTGCAAATACACCGTACACGAACGATGCGTACAAAGAGCACCCGCATCTTGTATTAATACGTACGTCAAATCTAAGCGAACTGGGAAAATGGTGAGTTGATGATTCACATGGTTTCTCTTACCACTAACTCACAGTTTGGGGAAAGTTTGAGGACTTTTCTGAGCTAGACAAACGACCCCATATAAGGCATGCATAAAAGAGTTTTGCCGCCAGTCACAATGCACCAGACATATATAACTGCTTCTTTTCAATCATTCCCAAGGAAGTGAAATGAAAAAGACACGTCGGCCATGTTGGTTGATATAACAAAATAATTCATTGACAAGTCTTTTGTTAAATTCAACCAAGATGGCGACTATGTCGTCATGTGCAAACAAATTATAGGATGATGATCACTAACAAAACACGTGATCGTTGTCTCTTACCCTTTAATTAATACGATTTAATGATTAATGATTATGCTCTATCATCCAGCAATTAGGCCGTGAATAGTCGAGTCCTTTTTTTCATTCTGTGAATGGTCGGCTGTGATCCTTGACTGCAGACTTATTCGTACATAGTCAGCCTTGTGTAAGAGCAGATGGTTCAATAGTCAACTGTAATGTAAAGAGTGTGCTGCAACTCCAATTACGCCAATGTTTCTGAATCCCACGAAACTTTAAATGAAAAGCTCATGACCGAAACTAAACCTGTACAAATAAGTCTGTGACTGCGTAATTACCGCCGTATGCATCGAATGAGAAAGAGGACCGTATCCTTTCACAAGAAACAGGTAATCGTAACATACATACATACTTGTTTTGTTATCATCTTGGTATATCTTTTTCAATTCCTTCATCAGAGTATGGATCATCATTGGGTGGAAGGTAATTGCCCTGGCAAATGTAACAAGTGTAACAAGACGGTCAAGAGTAATAATTGTTTGACGGGTCTACGTTGTGCCTGGTGCCAGATGGTGGTAAGTGCTTTTCACTGAAGACACAGAAAACGTGCGTGTGTGCTGTGTTGCGGTTAAAAAGCTGATGGTGATTGGCAGAACATGAAAAAATGGTTAGGAGAAGCACTCAAAACGTCTCGAGTGTACTGCCATTCCCCGTGTACTTTTTAGAATTGCGCACCACATAGTCGGTCAGACGGGGATTGGAAGATCATGAAAGAAGGGTTAGGAGAAGCATTCAAAACGTCTCGAGTGTACTGCCATTCAAGATCTCCGGGTGCTTTTTAACTTCGCACAACATAGTCGGACAGACGCAGGGGTTGAAAGATCATGAAAGAAGAAGCACTCCAAACGTCTCAAGTGTTCGATACATGCCCCTAGCACTTTGTAACTGCGCACAACACAGTCGCAAAGTTATTTCAGTTTCCTTTAGAAAATACTTAATACCTGAATCTGCATGTGTTACTTCTATGCGCGTTTTTGGGTTGCACATTCACTAGGCTTTGATTAAGAAGGAGGGTTTGAAACCAAGAAGAAAGACTATAAAATTTTGGAAGAGAAAAAACTAGGAGATTACTAACTACTTTTTCTAGATTCCCAAGATTTTGGTATATGTTTTTGCCGGATCCTAATGTTTCTCTTTGTTTTATCTGTTAGTGTCATAACAAATGTGCTACGAATATCAGTCCTGAGTGTAACTTAGGGTTACATAGAGACCATATTCTGCCTCCAACAAGTATTTCACCTGCAGGATTGGTAAGTATTTTGAATTTTCTCATTACATGTCATACATCTTTGATTCTGTGCACCCTGATCCACTGAACAAAATGTTACCCATTACAGACCGCGCGTCGTCTCTTCCCTAGGAGGAAGATTATTTTTTTGCGTCAAACGAATTTAAGTAACATTTATAAGCGTTACTGACTAACAAAGAAATTTAAAAAGGCTTGTTAAAAGTCTAAGAGAACGTAGCATTCTGATGCAGTGAGCAGTAATGTTTTGCAAATTTAAGGAGAAATCTGTTACGCTCTTTGTTACGCTATTATACACAAACTGTTCCGGGGCAAAAAAACTAAAGTTGTACTGAAATGGCTTTTCATCGTCAAGCATTTCATTATCCTTCCAAGCTCAACTTTTACAGTTTAACACTATGCGCATACATCTACTGTGCCATCAGTGATAGGCAGACAATGGATTTTCGATTAAGTCTGTTAATTTTGTTTGCAGGACAAACGATCGAGCACAGACGTAGACAGTCCCAAAAAGAAGGCCAATTCTTATGCTAGTTTTGAAGGGATGCCCATGCAGGTAAATGACTGATTCGCTCTCTTCCCACTATTACCTATGAATCAATGGAACCATTAATTTACTAATGTTTTTTTCAGATCACTCCATTACCAGGCACTCATCCACTAGTAGTGTTCATTAATCCAAAGAGCGGTGGACGCCAAGGCTCAAGGTAAGTCTTAGCTACTAGGTAACTTGTCCGATCAGCGACACAAAGCAGCTAGGGGCAGCTAAGAGCAGCCAAGTGCTGTATTTTCTTTAAACGTAATTGTATTTGCATATGGTCTTGAAGGTTTTCTCTCAGGATGAAGTTTTCCGGCCCATCCTTTCTTCCAGCCCACCCTTTGTTTGATTCCTGGATTTGCCCCTGCAGAGAGAGATCTTTACGGTTTATCACCGTTGATACCACGAGCCATTTGACTGCATGGGATTCCTAGGGTTCTGCTGGCAAACGAGAGTAGTTGTAGTAAGCTTTTGATGTGTGCAGTGACCTTCAAGTCTGCCGTTCTCTAGCCACACCAGCAAGAGCAAAACGATATACTTGATGCATGCTCATTTTTCTCTATTCAACTAACTTTAAAAAGATGCGCACTCGTGTATTTCGTTTTTCTTATGCTTAAGATGCCGGCGTCGCAGGTCAAACGAAGGCCTTCTTGCTCTGGACAAACTTTTCTGATTTCGCGATTTAACATGCCAAAATGATCTGTATTCGAACAAGTTTCGTAACATTCTTTGTCATCATTATGAACTTTTTTTTCCCAGGCTGCTTCACAAGTTCCAGTACCTTCTCAACCCGCGACAAGTTTTTAATTTGGGAGATGGAGGCCCCGTACCAGGGTAAATTTTCCTTTATCAGGATTAATAATTTTCTCCGGCTCCCCCGGCGTAAAGGAAGCTTCCAAAATGTTTTCTGGTCTTTTCTAGAGGAACAACTAACATTTGCGCATGTGAAAATCGAAAAGATGTCGTAGAATTTGAAATGGCATGACACGCGCTACAACCCGAGTACACTCCCCAGTATAGAATTGCGACAACATTCACTGCGCGCATGATGCTTGAACATGAAGATGCTTGACGGCCATGGAACGTCCACACCCTTAGGTTTTCAAAGTTATACGAAATCTGGCCTGTTTCCACGACATTCAATGCTTTTTACTAATTTCTCGACCAGAAACGTATTTTTAGTACTATTTTTCAACACCTACAACCTGTTTCAGTCAAGCTTCTCATGTCTTTTTGTTCTCTAGGTTGAAGTTCTTCCAGAATGTGGCAGGGAGTCGAATTCTTTGTTGTGGTGGAGATGGTACAGTAGGATGGGTTCTCTCAACGATAGGTTGGTGATTTGAATAATTAAGAAGATTTACTTAAATATTTGAGAAGAGTATCTCATATGTGTATAACTTCTCGTGATTTTGAATTAAAAACCAGTTGAAACGGCTGTTCACATAATGGTCTTATTTTTACTTCCGCTAACAAAATTATTCACGAATTTTATTTTATTTTATTTATTTATTCAGTATTTTTTTTATCAGTCAAAATTGTTATTTTCTCGTTATGATGGTAAGATAGATGTTCATTATCTGAAAAATAGAAAGTGTGCGAGGGATTCTGGTGGCAGTAGTACATGTGTTGCAATGCAAACGGCCTATTTAGTACCATCTGAAATGTTTTGTAGTGTGTAAAATGCGCATACCAGGTTAATTTATAGTTGCTTGAAGTTTAAATAGTTTTCGTGATGAAGAACTCTGCGTACTGGTTATCATTCATGTTTGGTGTATTTATGTTGATCCAGTATTTATGTCTATGACAGATCGTCTTCAAATGAAAGTACGTCCACCCGTGGCTATTCTCCCGCTGGGTAAGCTAAAGAAATTAATATGACCAAAATATCGAGATAAATGGACTCCATGCATTCTTCCTTTTTACTGTACTCGATTGCGACCATGTTGATGGCATACAAGAAACGATGACTTGTTATCTCCCAACATAGTCGCCATATCTTTTGATTTGATTCTCTTGGAAATGGTGAAAAAAATCAATAGACCCCTTGCAGCACGTCGGAATGCAGTTCAATTTGGAGGACATTACAATAGTTTTCCAATTCTCATCACATTGAAATTCTTTTGCTTTGTGGTCCAAATATTGATCTCCTTTTCCATCACATACGAGATGTCTTTTGCGGGAATCAAACGAACTTGACGATTTTATTCTTCTTCATCAGGAACTGGCAACGACCTGGCCCGATGCCTTAAATGGGGTGGCGGTGAGTTCTGTTTAATTTACTGTAATTTTGGCTTATAAGGTGATTGTTTTTGCAATTAGACCACTTATCGTGCTTGAACAGAATTTATCTGATTACGGTGACAATTCACGACACAAGTTACGGAAACGCCAGCAACCATCTGCAACCAGTCTTGGCGCGCGAAATAACTGAGCACTTATTACGTGCTGTCAGATTCATAACATTTACTGGCTAATTAATGCTGAAAATCTATACTTTATACTTTATACTTTATATATATACTATATATATATATATGAGGGTTTAATGCGATTCATGGTTGTCTAACACAGGTTACGAGGGTGGTAGTATATCCAAATGTCTCACCCAAGTACAGAGAGGCTCAGTAGTGAGTATGGACAGGTATGTCTGCATCTATGCCAATGTTTAAATTTTAGTCAAATCTAACTAGTGGTCTATTATCAATGCTGCGTTCTGATTGGATGAGCTAATACTAGGCTATAGAGAGGCTCAGTAGTGAGTATGGACAGGTATGTCTGCATCAATGCCAATGTTTAAATTTTAGTCAAATCTAACTAGTGGTCTATCATCAATGCTGCGTTCTGATCGGATGAGCAACTAATACTAGGCTATAGCTATAGCCTACTAGTAGCGAAGAGAGCCGGCTTTGAAAACCAAGCCATTTAATTTAAATTGAATTTAAAACTTGGTTGCATCTATATCTTTGACCGACTAGTTGTAAAAAAGATCTTATAAAGAGATCAGTGCCTGATCTTTGTAACTAATTTTTGCTTACCATTTTCAGATGGCAAATGGATGTTTCAGACGTAGATGCGTCGGAGACGGGTGATCCGGCCCCTCTGAATATCATCAATAATTATTTCTCTATTGGAGTGGTGAGTGCACTCGTAGTTAATTATTTAGTAGCTCATTACGACTCCCATGGAGTTTATTCTGGCTCATTTGCACCAAACTTGAGGACCACTTTCTATGCACAGTAAAGGATAAACAATTGTTGTATTTATGTCAAGTGCTTCTCAAAGTTAAGAATAAGAAACCATTGAATAGACCTTTCTCAATCCTGCGCACTCATTCAATCCCAAGAAACCTGAAGGGCCAAGCGCACAAATAATGATTCTTCAAACGTTTATTTTGGGTCCAAAATATTCGTCTTATCTTGGTCGTGCATTCCCTGCTAGCAGTCTCCCTCGTTGGCGATTCTTGGCATTGACAATTTTCTCTCAGGGAGTCTCCTTCGTTTGCGGTTCTTGGAAGAGAAAATTTTCTCTGCCAAGATTCGCCAACAAGGGAGACTGCTAGCAGGGAAGGTTGTGCAGCACGACAAATACGGATGCGCACGCAAAAAGGTCTGTTGCTCTCTGATGTCTGAAGGTTTTTACATCTTTGTAATAATATTTTACTCACCATCCATTAATGTCTGTCTTTTTTCAGGACGCTTCTGTTGCGCTCAAATTCCACTTGCAGCGAGAGAAAAATCCTGAGAAATTCAACAGCAGGTTGGTTTGTTTAGACAATATGACACATCAAATTTCCTTGATTTTTCATGACTGATTAAAGATAATTTTCTCATTGTCCACAGGCTGAAGAACAAGTTTCGATACTTTGAGTGCGGCACAGCTGAGACGCTTTCTGCAACGTGTAAAAACCTACACGAAGCCATAGAATTGATTGTAAGTGGCCAAGAAATGGCGGGATTTTAATCAGATTTTTTTAAAAACCTTATGTCACCTTCCCCTTACTTCTCCAGCGTAAATACTGATTTGACCCCCTAAAAATCTAGAATTAATAGATCTAGATGCCTATCCCCTATGCACTATCACACCCTAAACCTACAAATAAAAGAGCCGCACTTCAGCGTTCAAGTGTCAACGGGTGTATGTTACCTATTCTCCTCGCGCCTCGTGGCACATAGGGCCTTGTCAACGGGTTTTGATACGATTCTGACCAACCAATTTGTCTCATTCTTATAAGTGTGACGGCACGCCTCTGGAGCTCCCTCAGCTTGAAGGCATCGCAATAGTCAACATTCCCAGTGTGTATGGAGGTGCCAACCTGTGGGGAGACACTGACAAGAAGAAAAGCAAGAAAGTCCGTGGGAAGGGTGGGAGCAGAGAGAATGACTTGGCTTGGGCCGTGCAGGGTAAGTAAAATCTCTGTCTTGCAAACTCAATTTAGATTTGATAGTTATTTATGAGTATCTGAATAGTGCGTCAATTGAAATCAATTCACGGATTAGCCTTTCCCAAGTTCAAAGGAATGAAGAAATAGAAGACGCGCGCGCGTGCTATGTGCAGTCATAAATCACGCGGGATTGGCAGAACACGAGAGAAGTGTTAGGAGAAGCACGATGCGTAGAGGAGTGCTTCTCGACACTTCTCGAGATTTCTGCCAATCCCCAAATGCTTTATAACTCCACACAGCACAGCAAGCACGTTTTTTATTTGATAGGAATCACGCAGCGGAAAGTGCGCGTGCGTGCTATGTGCTCTCATAAAACACGTGCTCCCAATCAACCAATCAGAACGCGAGATTTATAACAGTTATATTATAAATAGCAATATATGACGTTAGAGCTCTTCCACCTATCTTTGCTTCTTCGTTATCAAGTCTTGATTTATTTTCTGTGTTTAGATATTGGTGATGGGAAACTAGAGGTGGTTGGACTAGAGAACACCCTGTACGTGGCTCAGATCATTGGTGGTGTTCGTGCACATGGACTAAGACTGGCACAATGCTCTTCTATTGAGATAAGGTTAGCTGTATCATCGTTTTCCTTCCTTGTTCAATCTTTTCTTTCCTTCCTTTTTGGATTACAAGTTACTGCCATTTCATACCTAGAAAGAGAATCTACACCCAAGTGTCGTGTCAGAGGCATGTCAACGTTGAGAATCTTCAACTGCATACTGTATTTAATTGTACCTCGTATTTCATTCTCGTTAGGACCAAGAGGCTATTTCCAATGCAGATAGATGGAGAACCTTGGGTCCAACCAGCAGCTACGGTAAGAACATATTTTCTTTCGTTTACCCATTTACCCACCCTACCCTGCTTGACGGAGGACTCCTAGAAGAAACCCAGGGCTCTATTATTCTTAATACGCGTGCTCGACAAAAAATAATGCGTGTTTTGTGCAACGACACTTGTGATAGAGTAGTTTTCGTATGACTGTTAAAACGTCCGTGCCGTATGCGTGTCTTACTGTGACCGTGATGTTTTCTAGAATTTTGGTTGGGTTTTTTTTCTTGTGCAATGTGATTGGTCTGTCAGTGCCATTAAATTGGCGTGACCGTGTTCGTGCCGAGGTTCGGGCATTTGATTGGATGAAAAGTAAATTCTCGTACAATGTGATTGGTCTGGCGAATGCCGTGTCACGACCGCGTTCGTACCGTAAGCATTACTCGATTTTGGACTGCTTTGCACGGATACGTAGCGAAAAGACCGCAAAAGGGGTACTGCGCCATACATGTTGTCTCTAACGTTGAATATATCAAATGCTCTGCTTTTTTACAGATAAAAATCACTCACAAAAACCAAGTTCCAATGCTGCAAGGACCGCCGCCTGCCAAGTCGTCTTTCTTCTTCAAACGGAAACAAGCAAGGGATCCTGAACTAGAAAGTGAAATTTAGTGAGTGGTCAAGCAAGCTTCTACTCAGCTTATATTTATTATAACGTTAAACCTATTCATACTGTCACAACTGAGACACTCTCCCTCCATCTCGTTCCTTGCTCCGTTACTTGTTCGATTTCTACATGCGCTTTGATGTGTTTTGAATTCTAATCTAATAAGTCTGTCAAAACATTCAATGCAAGAGCTAAACTGGACATTGCCTGGCTTTGTAAATATTTAGCCTTGAAGAATCTTATGCCTTTATGCGGGACACGGTTTTACAGTTTTCTTCTTATTGATTGCAAATGATTCACGTGACTTAATTTTGTACGTCATGTGGCTATGACGTCAACTTGTGACAAGAAAGAATTCGAGTCGTCTTTAATAATGATTGAGGACGATACATTTGCTCATAGTAAACTATTTAATGCAAGATTACCAGAGAATAATTGATAATACTTCAAGTTTGCAACGAAAAATAATCGGACGCCAGTAATACTGATGCGTTGTACTCAATGCAGAACTATACCAATTAGAACGGCCGTGGTCGTAAGTTCGTCGGAATTACCCGATTATGGTCGAGTCGCCGCTCCGCTGATTAAAGACCAAGGCAGAACGAGTTCCATTTCAGGGAAGTACATGACCTGAATTAATCGACCAGTGGTCGGATTAATATCTCGATTTGGGATGTATCACGTTTCCGGTCGGGTTATAGTTGGTTCAACCAAGGGTCTTATTGGCATTGAATATAATGTTCAAAGCTAGTTTCTGTTGACTGTCCGGTCAGGATTTCTAAATAACGTGCTGCATGACCAGAAGTTACATAACAGAGTGATCAACTAATCATCCATTCACTGTGTCTGTCATTCGTCTCATTTCTTGCTCACTTGTGGTCCAAGACTGTCACTTGATATTTAATATTATCTACAGAAGAGAAGTCTGTGAATTCCGTTCACATATTTTCATCCACTTGTCCTACCAGAATACCAGCAACTGTACAAGATATTTATTTGGACCTCCATTTATCCATCATTCACCGTATTCAACCAATCTGCTTTTCTCTATCCCAGCATATTCCGTCTGTCTGTCACACCACTAACTATCTGACTCTGTATTACAGTCCCGACCAATCAAATGGCCAAGTTAAAGGGTGCCTTGGATTCCACTTCTAGCCACGTCTGTCCGTCTGTCTGTCTGTCTGTCTATCTCTCTATCTGTCTGTTCTATCTTGGATTCACTTGCTTTGACCATCATTCTCTTCATTGGAGAGCTTTCAGTACAATTGACCAATCAACGCAGGGGGATGTGCGTACGTTCGTTCGTTCGTTACCAAGGTTTGGTGCAAAGTATATAAACAGCTTTATTGTCGTAACCAATATCTAAAAAAACTCTCAAGCTACTGATAGATGTCCAGGATATATATTAAGAATATATAGAGTATCAAGAATAAAATAGACAAAGTATCTATATATGGGTTATATGCAGGTCTTCAAAAGTGGGTTATATAATGATAAAAGCATATTATCATAATCCAGCTCTAGGTGTAAAGTGTAAAAATGCTGGAATATTGTTTTAATTCTAGTTGTGTAAAATGTTAGTGCATATATCTTATGAGAAAAGTATTTATGAATTAGTTCAATATGAACTTTACTAGTTTCCCCATAGTAATACAAAGAGCGACCTTACACAGAGGTAGTGTTGTATTACTGGTGCATATAATGATATAATGATAGGATCGTGTCTTAGTCAGAAGCTTCCATTTTAAATTGAATGTGATTTAGTCTAACTAACGAAATTCTGGTAAATTAGGGCTCCACCTTTTCGCTAATATTAAACAATTAATCTGCGATTTACATGGTGTGGGTCATTAAGGCAATATTGTTTCACTATGGYTATGATTTCTATCCAAAAAAAGTAGAATTTGATGGACCTTTGTCAATGATGTGGTTTGAATGCTCTATCTGAGCATATGAAAAGACAAGGGACAGAGTAGACCCCTTGCTGGTGTCGTCAAGAAGCATCTCAATTTGGAGGACAAAACAAAAGAATTTCAATCTTCAGAGAATTGGAAATCTTTCGTTATGTCTCCAAATTAAGCTGCATTCCGACGTGCTACAAGAGGTCTATTGATTCATCCAAGTTAAGACGATTCGGCATGTTGTCATTAAGACGAAAACGTTAGGTTGTAGATCACTCTGGGTAGTATTGAGTGTGCAAGTGGGTGATTAATTAAACGTACCGTCGCTACATCCTATTGATCCGGTGTATCCCGGGGGTTATGTCACCACGGTATTGGTTAGCTGCCCGGGTGGTCATCGATCTTTCAAACCGGCTTTTCTCCTCGTAGTGTCTAGCTGTTGCGCTTAAAATCGATTTTGGCTTTTGGATTTCTAACTATGAACTGATTCAAAATTGTCTTATTTTACCATTTTTATTCCTTGACGGTTCTAATCCTGCCATTAGGTTTAGGAAGTCTTTGTTTTATAAATGATTAAGAAATATAGTGGTGATCTTGGCTAGATATTAGTGTTCATGCGAAATCATGGCCGCCATATTGGATGGCACCTGACATGTCGGTCATCCAACATGGTTGTCAATTTTTCACTACCTTGCATTGATTTAATCCAAGAATAAGCGTTGTGTTTGGGGATTCGTGTATTTAATTAAGTCGTTCAAAAATTCTCTATAGGTTCACAAGCCAATGTATTTGCAGAGATCAAATTAATTGAAATTTAGGCTACGCTTGTATGGCTGGTAAACTTGGCTAGTGGCAATTAAAAGCGAGCGATTTTCTAATAAGTCGGCCATGTAAGTCTATCCTAAAATAAATAATAATTCTAATAATAGATTATATTAAGTAGCGGCTACGTCTAACCTTTGTTAATATAGTTTACTTTAAAGGCGATATTCAAGGGAAGCAGATAAGCTATGTGTTCTTTAGAAGACACTAAGTAACTTGAGCTAAATGTACGTTTTGAAAAATGGAGAAAGAGCTCAGAATATCTTCTTCCGCATTTGAATTAATGTGAAGAGTAGAATAATTATTACAAGGGTTAGATGTATCCTTTTAAATCAATCTTCTTCTTTATCCAATGAGGCGACTCCCTCAGCTTATAAAATCAAGATAAGGTTGTCATGACGATGATTTGAAATAAACTACGTCTCTATAGTAACGGTGGACTCTCCTAATGACCGTCGCTTGACAGCTTTGTTGTAATATGTTAATGGATACGAGCAGGTATTTGAAGGTTACTTTTGTTCCCGGCTCAAAACATTCCAGTGCAAAAAGGGGCAATTTTTGTTTCTTCATTGGAAAAAGAGGAAAAATTTTAAATCAGATATTATAAATCAAAGAAAGAGATGTTTATTTAATGATCAATCAGTTACTGTTGTTGCTGTTGAACAGCATCTTGAAGCAGAAGAAAGGAGTTGATCCTCCATTCCGTGTATTCACACTGGGCCGAACTAAGCTATTCAGAAATACAGTAGTATTAAAATAGATTTATTGACTTTAGGGCATCAGGGTGAATTACACTATTAAAGTTGATGTGATGGTAAAAATGATTCAGTCAAAATCAACGTGAGTTCTTGACTATTGTGCATGGGACAGGACATGCATCAGGGATGGAATAGAAGATGAGGGTGGGCAATGGTACAGGACATGAATCAGGGATGGAATGGAAGATGAGGGTGGGCAATGGGACAGGACATGCATCAGGGATGGAATAGAAGATGAGGGTGGGCAATGGTACGGGACATGAATCAGGGATGGAATGGAAGAGGAGGGTGGGCAATGGGACAGGACATGCATCAGGGATGGAATAGAAGATGAGGGTGGGCAATGGGACAGGGCATGAATCAGGGATGGAATGGAAGATGAGGGTGGGCAATGGGACAGGMCATGAATCAGGGATGGAATGGAAGATGAGGGTGGGCAAAGGGACAGGACATGCATCAGGGATGGAATGGAAGATGAGGGTGGGCAATGGGACAGGACATGCATCAGGGATGGAATGGAAGATGAGGGTGGGCAATGGGACAGGACATGAATCGGGGATATAATTAAAGATAAGGGATGGCATAAAATATTAGAATCTGACACTTAAATAAATATAAAAAGTAATTGCCTATTGCTTTAAACCCATATGGTATTTTGGAGTATCTTTCACTATCTATGACGACTATCATGCAATATAAAAGCCCTCCAATAATTTGTTGCAACAGCTGATCCGTTTGCCGAATGTGCTGCCGTCTGATCACACTCGATTGTGATTTATGATTACAAAGACTGTGTGTGGTCACTGATAAAAATGAATCACTAATCAGAGATCAGACCAAGAAAGTAGTTTATCTATTCTGATAAGAACTTATTTATACAGTATTCTATGTCTTCATTGATCATCATTAACCCGCAGCTTATGACCTTCAAAAGGTATCGGCAGTTTCGTTGTTTGTGCACACCATCTTGGTTCGTTTAGTATTCCCATGTTTCCTAGATGCTCTCCCTGCAAGGAAAGTCAGATTTTCCTGATACTGCCAACATTGTTTTGAGCGTACAGTCATGATCCAATTGTTGAAGGTACGTCTGTCGTACCTCTGCCTGGCGCTCTCCTCATGGGGACTTCGAATAGAAGTGTAGGAACGTCACCATTTTTTTTCACAGTTATCAGAGGCATGCGCACAGCCCGTCATATGCTGTATTTGCGCACAGCCCATCTGTTCGTTCATTGCGTGATCAAAGTTGATAGACAAAGAAGATAAGGAACCATAGAAATTACATATGCTGTATTTTAATTTCCCTCCCTTAAGCCCTACGTAACTGAGTCATATTTGTGGTCAATCAGTTGTCAACCACTTGTTATCTCTGTTAAGAAAGATGTTTCTCTTCGCAGTTTGCCGACCTCAGTTCATCTTAAAATAACTTCAGGCATTTTATTGCGTGACAAGGAACATTCCATTACGTGATATGATACATTCCGTTCCGTGATTTGTGGAGTACTTTCCCTATCTTCAGTAGCAGGCAAAATTATTGGTCCTTTTGACATTCTAGTATCACTTCGTTATAGGAGAAAGTTGACCACATATTGTAATTTCAAGTGTTTGGTACTGTAAGTCAAGGATACAATTTTAAAATGTTGGTACTATGCGGTTTCCTTGTTTGATCAAGTTACAGGTGAAAGGTGAGTTTGATTGATTCGTAGGTGAAGGAATTGCTGACAGTCTTGCCACCCAGTATGATGACCAGCGCCGTCAACATAAACCACCTCGAGTCCTCCCTACAAGTCTTGCTACATTGTCGTAGCATTCCTATGGGGAAATTGTAGTAAATCCCTAAATGGAACATCGGAGCACGTGTGGATTATCTTCGCGTAGTCTGCTCAGGATCCTGTTGACCGTGTTATCATACCTACGGCCAATATACATGACACAGATTTAGCTGAGAAAGACTCGTTGACAATCAATCTTGAAAATCCATCAAAAACCAAATCCACTCAAGCAATTGACGTCTCAATACTCGCGATTAGTCACCATCGCTAAAATCAGCGAGTATTTTTCACGGTTGTGAGGTTGTACTTGGTTGAAGCACGAGCAAGCAGATGCCAAACACTGCATTCCTGGTTGGAGGATAGATGATTCGAGAATAATGGGCCACGTTAATCGAATTCCTACAGCATTTCGTCGTTTTAAATGTGCCTTCAATTTAGTGATGTTATGCTGGCAGCTGCATTTCTATGCAGCCAATACTGTTTTAATAACGACAAAGTATGGGACTTTAAGAGGTCTTAAAGTCCCCTTCTCAAGCAATTCAGGACCAATCAAGTCAATTAATACATTTCTTGGTATTCCATTTGCTTCTCCACCGGTTGGAGACCTAAGATTGAAGCCCCCAGTCGATCCTGTCTCTTGGGAGCCTAATATCTACGATGCTACTCATTTTAGGAATGTTTGCATGCAAGAACCCAGTCAACTTCTAACTGAATACAGAAAAGTGTGGCGGTCCTTTGATCCCAAAAGAAATATTGCTGAGGACTGTCTTTACTTGAATGTATTTTCACCAGACTCGAGGGCTTCGTACTCTGTCATGGTGTACATCCATGGTGGTGGATTTATGCTGGGATCCTCTATACTTTCGCCAGGCTTTCAACTAGCCCTCAAGGGTGTTGTTGTCGTTACCATACAGTATCGCTTAGGTCCATTTGGTTTTATGTCCTCGGGTGATAGTGAAGCCCCTGGCAACATTGGATTACTGGATCAAGTTCAAGCATTAAGATGGGTGAGGGAAAATATTGAAGATTTTTATGGCAATCCTCATGAGGTTACTCTGTTTGGTCTAAGCGCTGGCGCTGTTTCTGTTAGTCTCCATCTACTATCACCTGTTTCGCTAAGCTTTTTCCATCGAGCGGCCTGTGAAAGTGGTGTTGATCTAGCCCCATGGGCTGTCCAAAACACTGAAAAGATAGTTAATCACACAAGAGCCGCTGCTGAACGACTTGGCTGTCATCAAGAGGAAAGTCAGAGTCTTTTGGACTGTTTACGTAACGTCCATGACCCATGGGAATTTTTGAACGCAAGTTTAGATGCCACCAAAAGTAACGGCTTGGAAAAATCCTACTTTGGGCCGATAGTCGACGGAAACTTCCTGGCCGACAAACCTTCTGTTCTAAGAAAAAAGGGCCTTTTTGGTAGAATACCGCTGATTGCAGGAATCACAAGTGACGAGTATTCGCTGTTCTTGAGAGACGAAATTAAAAACCTCTTTAATATCTCAAACTTATCGCGTGGGATAGACAAAAATATTTTCATAAGCTACTGTCAAAAGTTTGCTCACGCCCTACAGGCAAACACAAGATATCGCGCGCTCTTGTACGACGCTTTACTCTTCGAGTATTCCTCCTGGCAGGCTCAAAGCAATCAATCATTTTTGCAGTATCTTATTGATCTTACTTCAGATTACTATTTATGGGCTCCAACAAACGCCGCTCTTGTAGCTCATAGTGAGTATGCGCCAGCCTACATGTTCGTCTTCAATCATCGTTCAAGTCTCGGCCACACCCCTTTGTGGGCGGGTGTCCCACATGGATCTACATTTAGCTATGTCCTGGGTATAGCCATGAAAAATACGTCACCAAAGCACCGATTGGTCTATGATGTCACTGATTATGACGTCAGTAATGCAATGGTAACCATGTGGACGAACTTTGCCAAAGATAGCAATCCTACTCCAAGCAAAGTATCTGGAGTGACGTGGGAGCCATTCACCAAAGCAAATCAAGTGTATATGAAATTAGACGGCAAGCCGGTGGCCAAGATGGCCAAAAATTATCAAGCACCAAGAGCCGCTTTCTGGAATTATTATTACCATAAATTAATGAAGGGAAGCCCAAAGTGCTCCTCTGCGCATGCTACCCCTCCGTCAAATGAGGTTCCATTATTTAAGGGTTCAGTAACCACATGGTACTTAGTTGTCATGACAATTTTTTTGTTGGAATACTATTTTGAACTTCAATTTATCTATTAGAGTATATTGATCAATGTAATGGGTCAGAAAAGCCTTAGAGGACAATGAAAAGAGCAATGCTATCGCTGACCGCTGAGCAGTAATCCGTTAGCACGGTACGAAAGCACACATCGATTGTAATTTATGACTATAGCATATTAAACAGGATATTTGTCTGATGGTGTTGACCACCCCCACTACTACTAAAATACCATTGTCTTACTATTCTCCAGAGGGCATAAAATTTATTGGAAGAAAATTTATCAAGCATTTCAGAAAAGATTTGTTCCCAGTACCCTCTCGGCTTTCCATTTGGTGTGTCTAGAAAGCGAAAGGATACTGGGAACAAGGGCGAGGTCTGATATTGTTCGTCATACTAGATTTAAGTCCTATAAAGATTTTGATGTTCACCAATAAAAGATTGATTAAGGGCATCTTGACTCGTGTGCTTCAATATTATCTATTCATTCTTCATGTGTCAATATATCAAGAAGATGCCGTCATTATCACCTCATGAGTCGAACGCACTCAGTTCGGCATTACAAACAATAAGTATAGCATCTGAATAGATAAATGGATACCTAGCATTAGTAATGATAAGCAGTTTAGCGTTTTTTCGGTGCTATCTTCACTATATAGTTTTATTTTTCTCTGTCTCCTTTCGTTATTTCTTTTTCTTCTTCTTCTTCTTCTTCTTCTTCTTCTTCTTCTTCTTTTTTGTCCTTTTTCTTTTATTTTCTTTTGATCTATCTTCGTCTTCTAATTGTTCTTTCAGTTCTTTTATTCAGTCTGTTTTAATGTTTTTCTTGATTTGTATCCACTCTTTCTTCTTTCCTTCTTTCTTTCTTTCCTTCCTTCCTTCCTCCCTCCCTTCCTCCCTTTCTTTTTTCTTTCCATTCTAATAAATTTATCGGTTTACAGAAAGGACACAATAAAGACGAAGATGTCGCTCTTCCAGTGTTGACAGACGTTGCTCTAGGCTTGTCTCATCTCAATTATAAACTCTTAAGTGTGTTATACGATGGTCCAGCCACTATCAGTGAAGAAGAGGCCTGCAGTCATTTACTCAACTCACAACTTTTACAAAGGTAAGGACATTTTACAAAAGTCTACGGCCATTCCAAAAATTGCTTGCATAGTGAATAACAGCACAGTTTTCGTAAAATTGTGGAAAATTCATGGTTATGACGTATTCTGTCTTTGACAACGCCGAGCGTTTCTATTGGACTAGCAGTAATATCACGCTCCGCTATTGGTTCAAAGGATGTCGTTAATTTCTTACCGTGACTGTGCCAC